CACATCTTTTGCCCTATTTTGTATTTTATTTAGAGACAGAGTCTTGTTGAATTGCTTACCTCCTTTCTTTTGCTGAGGCAGGAATTGAACTTTGGGCCTCATGCTAAGCAAGTGCTCTACCACTGAGCTAAGTCTCCAACCTTTACACTTTTTTTTTTTTTTTTTTTTTGAGAAAGGGAAAATGCTCCCTCCAGTAGCGCATCTCCAGTGGAGATGTTGTTTAACCCTTAGATAATGATAACAGAATTTTTCTGTTGTTCAGAAACTGGAAAGCAATTTTGCTAGGATATTTTTAAATCCTCTAGCCAATCTTTACTGATGATTTTAGGCATACACTTCTCATGATAGAAGAGGTAGGGAGGAACTTCTTTTGGACAAGAAGAGCCTGAACTCTCTCCTAAGAAGATATCCTCCCTCCTGCTCTTCAGCGTTAGGCTCGCCATTATGGAGGGCAGAGGAAGGTTTCTTCTGGGCTTCAGGACTACAGCAGACTTCTTTTGGGAAGAGCCCTTCCATAAAAGCTTTCTCTGCTCCAAAACCTTGATTACCAATAATTAATCTCAGATGAAAGATTCAGTGCTACAGGCTTCCTCTGTCTCTGACCTAAGAGAACAGGCTGTGAATGGTTTGTTTGTTTGCTTGCCAGAGATCTTATCTTCACCCAGAAGAGCTGATAGGATCATAAAATCAGCATTGATCTCTTCTTCCAGTGTCCTTTCTCCACAAAATGGGGCGGGTGCACTGAGCCCAGGACAAAAGGGAGATTTAATATTGTCATGTGGGGGTGGCTGTCATTTAATACTGGCTATATTTCATAGTAATAAAATTTGGATAACTCTCTGGTGCATCCTAACCCCCATGCTTTCTTTGCTCCTTTGCAACGTATTTGCATAAATCACTACAAAGCAATTAAGCCAGCTAAGTCCAAACCACCCACTTGCCGATTCCCAGCACATGAATTAGAGGGAGGCCAGCTGAAATCTGGGCCAGGCACTTAGATGACTTGTGATGTCTGATTTTTGTTCCATGATTTGGAACTCAAAATAAATCAAAAAGGAAAAACATGTTCCAAATACCAGCTAATTCACACACAAAAAAAATCTCCATCTTCTTTCGTCCTGGCACACACACAAGGCTGATAAACAGACCTGCCCTGCACACAGATACAAGTATTTAGAGACTAATTTCTATAATCACAAACAGATACTCATGTGAGGCAGACTCACGGAACTCCTGTGTGTGAGGTTAGGCTCTAAAACTGGAATGAGGGCTGAAGAACATTTTAGGGTCTGGGGAAATTGGGAAAGACTTAGAACATTGGGTCTTTGAGGGAAGGTTCTAGGAGACAGAATTTGGGCAAAAGAGAAGAAAATATGTGAATAGCAAACAGGAGAGTACTCAAATAAAGTAGTGTCCATGGCAGAAGAGGCTGTTTGGTTAGATCTTAATGATAAACTTTCTGCTGGGTGTGCTGGGGCAAGCCTGTAATCCCAGTGACTTGGTAGACTGGGGCAGGAGGATTAAGGCCAGCCTCAACAACCTAGGGAGGCTCTGTCTCAAAATAAAAAATTAAAAAGGGCTAGCGATGTAGCTCAGTAGTAAAGCATCCCTGGGTTCAATAGCCAGTACAAAAAAGAATAAACTTTCTCACTGGTGAAACTTGTTAAACTCCAAAATTGAACAGCCCCAAGCTACAGAGCTCTGGAGGCTGTGGTAAATTCCCTTGGTACATGGTCAGGGTCCTCATATAATGGATATTTATAGATACAGATGTTGAACAGCAGTCTCTCCTGATACCATAAACCTGATCTTGCAAGAAGTTGGCAGAGAAATGAAACAATTCAGCAGGAATCAGGCACCTCTGATGGCCATAGCATCTCGAGTTTGACCTATTTACCAAAAGAGCAGCATATTCTGTTTAGAAACAGCACCTGTTCCCCGGATGGGGTGAACTCCATGAATGGGCGCAATGAGAAATGATAATTCGAGGGTCCTAAAAAACAGAAAAAATAAATCTTTCCCTCGGCCTTGTCACCAGGTATGGGAAATTTCAGCAAGGTGGTGATAGAGGCAGGGAGATACCTGGAGAACACATCTAAAAATGAACAAAGATACGGTAATTATAAGAATGGAAGCTGTTTACAGGGAGAGGAAACTGGTTCGTATAATTAGATGGATCCAAAAATTACCTTGTCTTTATATTATACCTTCCTGTAAAAGAGATATAAGATCTTTTCTTGCTGGATAAAGACAAAGTTCCTTCTTTTTAGAGAAGAATACCATCAAATTACAAAGGGGCAGAAGACACACTTCCAATTACTGGCAAAGTCAGGACGAATCCCCACGCCTTTTCCTTTGTCAAGAATGTATAAAGGCATCCTTCCACTAATAGGAAACATTTATTCCTGCCTTGGCTTCTGTTTTAGCTGCTCATCTTTCTCTCTCCCATCCTGCAGCTGGGATGAAAGCAGCTCCATCAGCAGTGGGCTCAGTGATGCCTCCGACAACCTCAGCTCAGAAGAGTTCAATGCCAGCTCCTCACTCAACTCCCTCCCATCTACTCCCACTGCCTCCCGCAGGAACTCTACAATAGTGGTATGTGGGTTTGCAAACACCTGGGCCACCATCTCGAGATAAGCCCAACTGGGCAGTGCCTGGGTTTGCACGCCCAGTCACACCCACTTCATGGAAGTGGTTCCCATTGACCAAGTTCTTGTAGAGCTGGCCAAAAAACAAAACAAAACAAAAGTAAATCTTCCTAGCAGTCCCCTAAGACATTAGACGTTGTCACAGTGCCTATATTTTGGGCTCACATGTGTCTAGAGTGAAACATGTAAGAGCTATTCCAAGCTTGCTAGGCTTGGTGGTGCACACCTGTAATCATAGCAACTGAGGCAGGAGGATCTCAAGTTCAAGGCCAGTCTCAGCAACTTAGCAAAACCCTGTCTCAAAATTAAACAAACAAACAAACAAAAAACTAAGGTCTTGGGATATAGCTCAGTGGTAGAACACCCTTGGAGTCAATCCCCAGTGCTAAAACAGGAAAGAAAAAAAATTAGCTAATCCAAGTGGAAAAGAAAAAGATTCCCAGAGTTAGATCTGATATCCTCTCTCCAGACCCTAAGGATACAGTAGGAGTCCTGGGTTGCCTAGGCACTCTGGGAAGAGCAGGGCCACCTAATAACCAAATAAATCCCCTCAGCTAACCATTCCCAAACCCTATGGGAATGTCTCCTCTTCTCTTCTTTAGCTGCGCACAGACTCAGAGAAGCGCTCTCTGGCAGAAAGTGGGCTGAGCTGGTTTAGTGAATCAGAAGAGAAGGCCCCCAAAAAGCTGGAGTACGACAGTGGTAGCCTGAAGATGGAACCTGGGACTTCTAAGTGGCGGAGAGAACGGCCTGAGAGCTGTGATGATTCTTCCAAGGGCGGAGAACTCAAAAAACCCATCAGTCTGGGACATCCTGGTTCCTTGAAGAAGGGCAAGACCCCACCAGTGGCTGTCACTTCCCCCATCACTCATACAGCCCAGAGTGCCCTCAAAGTTGCAGGTAAGTCTGGAATAAAGGAAGGGAAAGAGTGAGGATCTGTTTCTTTGGTTGTCCCTCTGAATGGCCATTAACCCATAGAATGATAGCAAACATTTGCATAATGCTTTAACATCCACACATCTGATCTTCCAGACAGTCCTCGGAGTGAGGAGGGGTAGGTATTACTCTCACACAATGAATAAGTAGCAGAGGAGGAACAGTGTGTTATGTTCAGAGACTAGTTTGACCTCCTTCAAACACTTCCCATTTGTTTCTTTCCTCTCCTTTTCCCGAGTAGGGAAAGAAAAAGATTTCTGAGGTCCTGGTCAGTGTCAGCTACTCTCACCTCATTTCCTTCCCTCTCACAGGCAAACCCGAAGGCAAAGCTACAGACAAGGGTAAGCTTGCTGTAAAGAATACCGGGCTGCAGCGCTCCTCTTCTGATGCTGGTCGAGATCGCCTAAGTGATGCTAAGAAGCCCCCCTCGGGCATTGCTCGCCCCTCCACCTCGGGATCCTTTGGCTACAAGAAACCCCCTCCTGCCACAGGCACGGCCACAGTCATGCAGACTGGTGGCTCAGCCACTCTCAGCAAGATCCAGAAGTCCTCAGGCATCCCCGTCAAGCCAGTGAATGGGCGAAAAACTAGCTTAGATGTGTCCAATAGCGCAGAGCCTGGATTCCTGGCTCCCGGAGCCCGTTCCAACATCCAGTACCGCAGCCTGCCCCGGCCAGCCAAGTCCAGTTCCATGAGTGTGACAGGTGGGCGGGGTGGACCTCGCCCTGTGAGCAGCAGCATTGACCCCAGTGTCCTCAGCACCAAGCAAGGAGGCCTTACACCCACCAGACTGAAGGAGCCTTCCAAGGTTGCCAGTGGGCGGAACACTCCAGCTCCTGTCAATCAGACAGACCGGGAAAAGGAAAAGGCCAAAGCCAAAGCAGTGGCCTTGGACTCAGACAACATCTCCTTAAAGAGCATTGGCTCCCCAGAGAGCACTCCCAAGAACCAAGCAAGCCACCTGCCAGCCACCAAGTTAGCAGAGCTACCACCAACCCCTCTCAGGTACCCAAACTGGGTATTTCCTCCTTGTCTATTTGCTCGGTCATTCTTTTGCATATTCTGGTCCTCTTTAGACTAGGAGTGCCATGTCCTGTCCACTTTGATCTCTAGGCCTTTGCATGGGTCTTTCTAAAATCTCCTCTGGCTTCCCCTGTAGGCCAAGTTCTTTTCCCTCTTTCAAAACTGTATTCAAGAGCTGGGCAACGTTGTGCACCCCTGTAATCCCAGCGACTCTGGAGGCTCAGGCAGGAGGATCTTGAGTTCAAAGCCAGCCTCAGCAACTTAGCAAGGCATTTAGCAACTCAGCAAGACCATGTCTCTAAATAAAATACAAAAAAGGGCTGGGGATATGGCTCAATGTTTAAGCACCACTGGGTTCAATCCCTAGTACAAAAAAACAACTATTCAAAACTTACTCTTTATTCTATTTTCTTATCAATGCCTAACCTGTTTTCATAACACTTGTACAAGTGGTCTTTCAATGTTAATTTGCACACATATACCCATTTGCATATAACTTCACCTGTGTTTCCCATGGGCATGTATTGCCCCCCTATTAAGACTGCAGGTGCCTTCAGTCAGGTTTTCCTTCCAACTGGTTGCTCAACAGCATTAGAATCAGCCTCTGTACTTAGCGAATGGCCAGAAAACAAGAAAACTAAAGAATGATTGCCTCTTGCTCTGTAATTCTGTTATCTTAAATATTTTATTTTATCTTCACTTCTCTCAGGGCCACAGCTAAGAGCTTTGTCAAGCCTCCTTCACTAGCCAATCTAGACAAGGTCAACTCCAACAGTCTGGATCTACCATCGTCCAGTGACAGCCACACTCCAAAGGTCCCAGATCTGCATGCTACAAGCTCAGCAACTGGGGGCCCTCTCCCTTCTTGCTTCACCCCCAGTCCAGCACCCATCCTCAATATTAACTCAGCCAGCTTCTCCCAGGGCCTAGAGCTGATGAGTGGTTTCAGTGTCCCAAAGGAGACCCGCATGTACCCCAAACTCTCAAGCCTGCACAGGAGCATGGAGTCCCTTCAGATGCCAATGAGCCTGCCCAGTGCCTTTCCCAGCAGTTCCCCCATCCCCACCCCTCCTGCGGCCCCTGCTGCCCCCACAGAGGAAGAGACCGAAGAGCTGACCTGGAGTGGAAGCCCCAGGGCTGGACAAGTGGACAGGTAGGTGGGTGGAGACGGAGCTGAGACTGAGCCCAGACCACTGGCAATACCATCCTATATTTGATTGCCTCTGTAACTTTCAAAACTTTTTCACATATTTTAAGTGATTTTACATGCTTCAAACAACTCCATGAGATAGGTAGGATGCTTTTTTTTTTTTTTTTTTTTTTTTTTTGCTCATCTGATGAATGGAAAAACTGGTGTGCAGAAAGTTAAGTGACTTAACCAAGATCTCATAATTGGTTAGACTCGTTCTCCAGAGCTTTTGCTTCCTAATCCACAATCATTCCTAATATATCACGTCCTTCTTTTTACCCACAGTATCTTTTAAATAGCCAACCATACCCTAATTCCTAATTGGAGAAAAACATTCAACATTTCAGGTAAATTTCCCAAGTTTGCACCAAGAACTTGGCTGAGACTGTCTTCTTATTTTGTTTATAGAGGTAGTTTGATGCTCCGTGTCCCGAGTCTGCAGACCTCACCTCAAGCCTATGGTCCCACACTCTCGTTTCTAAGGCGGACTCACATACTTCTCTTTTTTTATCTCCACAGTAATCAGCGGGATCGGAATACCCTTCCCAAGAAAGGACTCAGGTAACCCTTAATTACAGCTTTTCCTCCCTATACTTGGTGCTCCTAGTATATATAAAAAATCCATATTTGACCTGTCCCAGGCCCTCTGCATGAATTTGGCCCTTTTATCCAAATCATTTGTATGTGGTCCCATATATGTGCCATCCAGCACCTGCTCACCATCATGTGAGTCAGCGTCTATAGCAGGTGGTCTTTGGTGACGGGGAGAAGGAGTTTGCATGGGAATCACATGTTCCTCTGTCTCCCTTATAATATCCCAGGGCTCCCCGAACTTCCTTTCTGTAATTTTGCTTTCCTACTCTGTGCCTCTGGGGCCACTTGGTTGGGCAAAGGGCAGGACATCTTTGTTGTCACAGCACTGAATTGTTCATTTGGATGGGGACTCCTGTGACCCGAGAGCCAACTCTTAGAATCATGGGGCTCTGCCCTGAGCTATAGGGGTGAAGTTCTAGTGCCTTCTCTGTCCTATCTGACTCTATTTCAGGAGCTCTGTGTAGAGTACCTGCTAGTGTTCTAACATTAGCTGAGGGGCTGGGGGAGGACGCTGAGTCACTTCCTTTTGCTCCCTCCTGGCAGCCCTGGATGCTCCCCTTTTTCTTGACCAACTTTCAGATCTCCTGGCTCCTAGCTCCCAGATATAGGTATTCTGGGAGATATTCCCTAGATATTACCCACACCGACTATGCGTCTAGTATCACTTTGTGGTTGCTGAGTCTAAGTCCTTCTACTGCCTTCTACAGGTACCAGCTCCAGTCCCAGGAGGAGACCAAGGAGAGGCGGCATTCCCATACCATTGGTGGGCTGCCTGAATCCGATGACCAGTCAGAGCTGCCTTCTCCCCCTGCTCTCTCCATGTCCCTGAGTGCAAAAGGCCAGCTTACCAACATAGGTCAGTGTTTGCGGTCGCTCACTGTAGTATGGAATGAAGCAGGGGGTCACCCTGTAGGGTGAGGCAAGGCAGCTGGACTTGAGGTTTCATCTAGTATTCGACTCATGCTACATTGGTGGTTTCACAGTGCCTCAGTTTATCCACTCAAAATAAGATGGAAGGCGAAGTGTGCAAATCCTCAACTGAAAAGTTGCCCCTGGGCACAAGTTGTAGGGTCCTGTTAGTATCAGAGACTCAGAACTATGGCATGGAAAAGCCATAAGCCAAAGCCCAGGGATCAAACCAGTGCAGTGCCAGGCACGTAGATCAGCCAGAAAGGATCTGTGACACCCAGGGCTGCTGGGGCCAGCTGCTGCAAGGGCAGTACTAAAATGTGAGGCTGGAGGGGAGGAAGAGGGAAAAGTAGTGGATGGAGGAGAGTGGAATCTGCATCCAAACCCAGAAAAATTCAGATTCCTCAGCTGCCTGGCTGAGGGCAAGCCCTCCTCGCCCTGAAGGCAGAGCTGACTAAAACATATCCTGGACACACCCTTTCTAGATCCTGAGAAGCAAGGAAAGCTGAGATAGAAGGAAGTGGCCGGTTGACTCAGAAAGCAGGGAGGGGAAGAAGCCTGGGGTGGCGAGGGCCGGGCCCAGCCCTGATTCTGAGAAGCACTAGGCCAGGCTTGGCCTACTAGGAACCCTTTCAAACAGTGCCCGGGATGGGCCTGTTGTTTGCTTGCTGTCTCTCTCTAAACCCATGTCTTCTTTCAGCTGAGTGAAGGGAAGGAGTTAATGTAAGACAAGGACCTGTGACTTGCCGTACAGTGACGGTGGGGAATTTGAGGAAAGACTAGGAATCGGGATCATGTTTGCCTTAAGGGTCATCTGGCCTCTGAAGGGCTCTTAAAGGAGGATGGGGCCAGCTTGTTTTCCATGTCCGTTGAGGATAAAACAAGAGGAAAGGTGTTCCTGCTGCAGAATGAGGGCCTGGGCTAAGTAGGACTCGCCTTATGGATTCAAAAGCACCAAGAGAGAGGCATGAGATCTGCACAGGTCCTTACAGACAGGCGCACTATCCATCGGCCTGTGGAGGGAGTTCCATGAAGGTGTGAACCCCAAAAGGCTGTAGTCCCAGCAAGGGGCAAATGGATGGGGTCAGGTTCTGCAGGTGAGCAGGAGCCAGCAGATTATTCAAAGCAAGTTCAAACCTCAAAGCAGATTCCAAGCCCTACTGACACATCCACCTGCTCTGTCTGTCCTACATGAAAGCCAGCCAATGCTGGGCAGAGGTGGCCCTAATTTTTGATGCCTTAGAACTGACTTAGAGTGACACTGCTTTGTTGAGAGACATGTCCTTCCTTAATGCTGAGCCCATTGGATCCGCAGCCTGACCCCCGCATCACTTGGATCTGAGTCGTGGTGTGAATTCTCAGTCCTTCCAGGTTGTGTTGTAGAGGACGAAACATCCCATTTTCATGGTCACATCCCAGCAATGTGAAGGTTTCCAATAAGCTGCCAGGCCCCTTCAAAAGCAATGACGCCGAGGCAGGCAGGCTTGAGGGAATGTCCATTTTATTCCAGACAGCAGGGTCCTTCTCCATTAGGGCTCGCCCTCTGCACACGCCCCCGGCCCACCTGCCCCCTCCTCTCCCACCCTCTCCCCGTTGCCTCTCATGCTCCTGGTGCTCCATCCCCCAAGGGACAAGAGAGCTGATGACCCTGCCTCTTCTCCTGCCTCCCCCTCCCTCTCCTGTCCCCCTTCCCTCTGTCCTTCCAGTGAGTCCCACGGCGGCCACCACGCCAAGAATCACCCGCTCCAACAGCATCCCCACCCACGAAGCGGCCTTCGAGCTGTACAGCGGCTCCCAAATGGGGAGCACCCTGTCCCTGGCCGAGAGACCCAAGGGAATGATTCGGTCAGGATCCTTCCGAGACCCCACGGATGATGGTGAGACTTCATGCCAGCGCGGTTCACGCTCATTCCAGCTCTGCTGGGTCCCCTCACCCACCACCACCTCCACTGCCACCACTGCCACCACCACACACACGTATATGATCCACAGGACATCGACTTGGGCCATTTCAGTTCTTTCTTCCCATACCTTTGAAGGGTCTGGGGGCCCAGAAACCCTGGGTGGCACCATCTAGCACTGGGACTTTGGGATGGAGCTACTCTCTTGAGGGCCGGGGGAGGAAAATCAAGAGTGGAAAGGGTTAAGGCTATCTCTCAAGGTGCTCTGAAAACCAGAGCTTCCGTCCTCCTCATTCTGCTAGTGGTCTTTCCTCCTCACAGTCTCTCAGAGTATTAGAAAAGACACAGGGATACAATGGTAGCTCTTAAAACGCTTACAAGGAATTAGACATCTCATTCCTGATTTCAGAATGTTCCAGAGATTAGCTGCGGGGAGGGGAAGGGGCACCTGGTGGATGATGGTGATCTGGGTGTTAAGGTGGACCAGAGGCTGGAGCCGGGGCCTTGTGTACGTTTGACCCCCATTGCTCTTGGGGTGCTTAGGTCACAGGGGATTGCTTGCAGATATGCTTTGGTTCTCACAGCAGGCTCTATTGAATAATCAGGACCAGTGTCCCACCTAAATATCTGTTTCATCTGAGTGTCACCCAGGCTCCCCCAGTGTCCCCCAGTGATAAGAAGAGGAGGCACAGGCCGAATTGCAGAATCTGTTCTGAGCAGCTCTGATGGGAAACACCCCCCTTCTGCAGCTAAAGCACTTTCCTGGCTGGGAAGAAGAGATAACGACAACCCACAGGAATCTCATTTCCTTCTCTCTGAAACCCTGCGCTCCTTGCAGCAGGCTGAGCAAGGGACCACCGTGGCTGGGTTGCAGAGAAGGTAGATGAGCGAGGACGCCATCTCTACTCAGGACTGTGTCTCCCTGGACACCTGCCTACCTTGGGCTCTTGGGATGCCGACTGAGTTTCCTGCTCTGTTCCTTCCGTCTGCTCCAGATGCCCTCCAGAATCAGTATCCACCCTCCTATCTTAGGGCTCTTCCCAGAAACCCCTGTTCCTGGAACCCCCTGTTAACCCCTCATGTTCTCTTTCTCTTTCAGTTCACGGCTCGGTGCTGTCCCTGGCCTCCAGTGCCTCCTCCACATACTCCTCAGTAAGAGCAATAACTTTCCTTCCTCGCTCACTCCTGTCCCTACCAGCCCATGCTTCCTGAAACCTCCTTCAGTTGGGCCACTGTGGGGAGCAGCAGGGAGCACTACTATCTCTTCATTACCCCTGATGGATCTTGGGTGGGGATGGGGAAATGTGCCTACAGCTTGGAGCTCTCACCTGGGCACCTCAGGTCCTCACCTTTGATGCTTTCTGTTCCCCTTGAAGACTCTCCTTGATATAGAGCCCTTTTCTCCCCCTGATAAATGGAAAACATTTATAGCAAGGCAAGCTGGGTAGGTTTCTTTAGGCTCTAAGACCCCCAACAATGTATTGAATTGACCAAATGTTTCTTGTGGGGCATCTCCCAGAGCATTTGGCTTTTCGGTGTTCTTTGATTCTCTGTTTTGTTGTGTCCCTATTTCTTCACTCCTCAGGTTGCTAAGCAGAAAGGGTTACCTTTCAGCACGACCAAAATTTCGTTTCCTAACCTTCTCAGCAGTGACAAAGTTGGCTGGAGTTGACTGCCCGAGAAGTCTTTTATTTAAACCCTAGCATAGATCTGAGCTGAGACCTCAGGAGCCAGGGCCAAGGAACAAGAGATCCCACCTCTTTGAACCTCTGAATCCCGCTTCTTCAAGTCTTTGCCCTGCTACTCACTGGGGCCTGGCTTCTTCACCCCTGTAGTAACACCCGCTCTCTCTCTTTCTCTCCCTCTGTGCTCCCTTCTTCAGGCTGAGGAGAGGATGCAGTCTGAGGTAGGGTACAAAGCCTTGGTCTCTGCTTGTTAACACCACTGCGCCCATTTTCCTTCCAAGTACCCTGTTTCTTCTGCCACCAGTAGTTTGTGTTTTCTCTTCTTTCACAGCAAATCCGGAAGCTTCGTAGAGAACTGGAATCATCCCAGGAAAAAGTGGCCACCCTGACATCTCAGCTTTCTGCCAATGTGAGTGCCTGGAATAGAGAAAGACCTGGGCAGTTATTTTGGCCAAAGTTAGATAAAATCAACCAAGGGAGGAAAATTAGCTGAGAAGTGTGCCTTGGGCTAGGCTCCAGGGAGGGGTGTTCCCACAACCCTACAGTGGAGAACCTGAGGATTGTCCTTCACCTTCTTTAAGTCTGTTTTTATAAAAATTTATTTTTCCCCCACCCTAATGAGTAGGTGTGGATAAACTAGTGTCTGGTAGACTTTTGTCTTTCTCTTGGAGAAAGATAAGAGGAGTACCAGTGGTCCTGCAGGGGATGGAAACAATCTCGCCATTAGCCATGAACTAAAATAGTTATGAATTATAATTATGGAGCCCCGAGAATCCTTCCCTGGATGTGTTCATGTGTTTGTTCATGCCACGTAACTGGGCAGGCATAGAACTGGTCATTAGAATTCAGTCTGGGGACCACCACACTATTCGAAGCCTAATTCTAGGCAGAATTTTGGGGGGGGGCAGGGGGAGGGCTCAGTGCATGGATCAGACCCAAAGCTTTGCGCACACTGGACTCGTGCTCCACCTCTGAGCTATATCCCTAGCCTCTCATTCCCATTATCCTTCACTCACATCTGCCCTGCAAGTAATCTCCTTGGCAGTTTGAGCTTTTAGTTGGCAATAGTATTCTTTGTTTCTGCTCTCAGTACACCCACTTATAGAGAGTTTCTTCCTTGTAGGCCTTAGTTTTTCTACTCTGTGAGATGGGGAGAAAAGACGCCACTTCATCTAACTAGGTTGTTGTAGTTTCTCCCCTGTGACCACGTTGCAAACAGAGAACATAAGAGCCATTTTCCCCCAAAGCTATAAACAACAGCTGAGCCGGATCTGCAGGAGCGTTCCAAGTGTTTGCACAAAAGTAACCATGTCTGCAATTTCCGCAGTAGTTTTCTCTCTTCCCTTCCTCTCTGGGGAACCCAGCTGTTGGGCCTAGGTCTGTTCTTTGGAATCAGGTAGGATCTTCACCAAGATTTTTCATGTTTCCAAATTATTGCAATAGCATAGCTCCCTCACCACATTGGTTATTGTCCTTATTCTTTTCCCAAATCCCCAGTTTATAAGTCGCACACTTACCAGTTTGTTTGAAGCTCATATCAAGCACTTTTTCCCACTCTTGAGGACCCAAAAGAATTATGACAAACAAAGCCAGACATGATACTGAATGCCCGTAATCCCAATGACTCAGAAGGCTGAGGCAGGATGATTGCAAGTTCAAGTCCAGTCTGGCAATCAAGCGAGACCCTGTCTCAAAAAAAAAAAAGAATCATAACACAATCATGAACCAGCTTTCCTCTCCTATATGCCACACCCATCAAGGCCAGTGGCCTGGGTCACATCCTGCACACCCCAGGAAATTCATGTCTGGGAGATGCTGGGGGAGAGGCGCCTGGGAGACAGAGAACATTATGTCTCATTCATTTATACTGCAGTCTGTCAGCCATCGTGTTGTCAAGACTGGGCTATAGCCAAGAAAATGAATTTAGAGGATGATTTTTCTTAGAACAGGAAGTTCCATTTGGCTAAAAGAGAGAACAATCTAAACACCCAGACACGGTGAGTTCTGAATCTTAGATTTTTGCTGAAGCTCAGAGCCCTGCCCTCAAGCAGGAGATGTGATGGCAGGATTCTGGAAAGGTCCTACACCTGGGATGCCCTGATGCTGAATCAGACACTGTCATGTTGAATAGAACTTCCAAGACACTGAAGCTGGAGGACTCCCCCTGGATTGGAAGGAGTGCAGGCTCCCAGTGCTAACCTCATGATAGCACCATAGCTTAACCTTGAGCTTCTCAGGCACCTTAGCCCTTGACTGGGATTTAGGGTAGGGGAGGAAATGCAGGACATGGGAGGGAAGGCAAGTCCCCCAGATGAGGAGAGGCCAGCACAGAAAAGCACACAAGAGGCCAGGGCTTCTTCAGGGCTCATGAGTAGATTTTCTGGGATCTCAGACATGTGCCAGGATATAGAGAAGCAAATAAGACCTAAGGCCCAGAAGACAGAAGAGGTGGGGGCAGTTGTTTAGGTCATGACATACATCAAGCCCAGGCCTTGACAAATTCACTATAGAAGTGGAAGATGAGGCTCAGATGGGACCAAAGTGATCACCTCCAGTCATGGTCCAGTCATGGTTTCAAGGACACTGAATGAAAACAGAAGGGAGAATTATAAGCCAACAGAAAGCAGTGGGTATCCCAGACATATTAGAGATCTGGGATAAAAGTCCTGCCCAGAATAAGTTCATCACTTCCTGCTAGGGTCACCAGCTGGCTCAGATGCCCTCACTGAAAGCTCTCTCCCCATCCTCCAGAGTTTCCCGGTCTGGTCCCACGCTTCCTTCCCTTCCCTTTCCTATACATCTTGCTCCAGCTGGGCAGGGAGAGTTCAAACCATGCTCCACTGTGGCCTGGGTGCCACTCTGCACCTTCCTCAGCTGGCCCTCCAGTATCCTACACTCCTCTTGAAGCAGACCTGACACCTAGTGGCCAGATGGTGTAATGCCCCTGGAAGTTTCTTGCTACTTCCCTCTAGCCCTGCAAAGTGGAGTCAGAAGAAACCAGAAATAAGAACAAAATAAGAACAGGTTAAGAAGCAGAGATGAAAGATATGCACCATACAGATTCTCCTGGGAGGTTACCCCTCCCTTGGGGGCCAGACCACTACACAGTGGAGTTAAACCAAAATAAGACCTACTCCAGAGAATATGACCCTCATGTCAAGCCTGCCACCCACATGTCACATAGAGCAGAGGAACTGTCCCATCCCTGGTAGACACCAGGTACCAGATCCCTACTCTACCCTCCTGCGGTCCCCACTGTTCAAGAGGCTGGACCTGCCGGAGAATCGCTGTATCTCCATCTTGTCTGCTCAGGGAAGTCAATATTTTTAAATCCCCAAGAAGTTTGTTGGCCTTGGTCACCTCTGATACACAGAAAATCAGTTAAAACTGCTTTCCACGTCAGTGTGTCCCTCTACTGAGACTTTGCAACATAAGATCCCCTGATGTGTTTGTTTCAGGCTAATCTAGTGGCCGCTTTCGAGCAGAGCCTTGTGAGTATGACATCCCGCCTGCGACACCTGGCAGAGACAGCAGAGGAGAAGGTGAGAGGCCTAGGTGGGGAGGCCAGCTTCCCCTCCCCCACAATCACCAGTTTCTACCTCCCTGACCATGGCCCAGCACTCTCCAGCTGCCCCTTGGTACCCTGTCAACATCTTCCTTGCCCCAATTCCCTGCCCTTCTCTATCATGTCAGGGAGAATTCCAGGGCCTAGCCCATTGCCTGGCTCATTGTAAGTGCTCCTACTAAGCCCAACTAATGACCATTTTCATTCTTTATTAGGACACTGAGCTGCTGGATTTGCGAGAAACCATAGACTTTCTGAAGAAAAAGAACTCTGAGGCTCAGGCAGTCATTCAGGGAGCCCTGAATGCCTCAGAAACCACACCCAAAGGTAGGGGGTCCAACCACAGATTGAGGGAGAACAGGGAAGGGGGGAAAGAAGATGACTGCAGGTTTTTGTTTTTGTTTTATTTTGCAGTCCTGGAGATGGGACACAGGGCCTATTGCATGCTAGGCAAGTGCTCTAACACTGAGCTACACCCTGTGTCCAATTGCAGGTTTTTATGTGGGCCCACAATGGTCAGCTCCCATATCAAATTTCTAGGAGAACCAGGCATGATGCTGTACACCTATAATCCCAATTTTGACGAAGGAGGCTGAGGCAGGAAGATTGCAAGTTCAAGGCCATCCTCATCAGCTTAGCAAGATACTGCCTGCCTCAAGATAAAAAAATAAAAAGGATTGGGGTTGTAGCTCAGTGGAAAGGTGCCCTTGGCTTCACTCCCCACTATCCCCGCCCTGCAATTTTTTCTGTACGGTGATGTCCCTTAAGTGCCTTTCAGTGGGATATCTGTACTAATCAATGAGAAGTGCCAGGGAACTGATCCCCATCCTAGGGGATGGGGGCAAGTAGAGGAAACCTCTAATCTCCATGAGTGCCCTCCTCAACCTTCAAATTCTTGGCTTATTTTTTAATCAGTTTGTTTTATTGCTGAGCTTTTAAAGTTCATATATTCTGAGCACTAGACCCTTAACAGATAATGATTTGCAAATATTTTCTCTCATTCTGTGTGTTGTCTTTTCACTTTCTTGAAAATATCTTTTGAAGAACAAAGGTTTTCCATTTTGATGAAGTTCGTCTATTTTTTTTTCTTCAGCTATGTGTGTTTTGTGTTGTATCTAAGAAATGATTCCCCCATCCATGGGAGAAGGAGGAAACAGGAATAAATCTAAGTGATCCAAATCCAAGGTCACAAAGATTTATTCCTATGTTTCCCTCTATAAGTTTTTATGATATTAGCTTTTAAATTAGGTCTTTGATCCATTTAGAATAATATTTAATAAAAGATTGATAGATAGAGGGTCCAACGCCATTCTTTTACATGTGAATATCCAGTTGTCCTAGCAATATTTCTTTAAAAGATTATTATTTTTTCCCTCATTGAATTGTCTTGGTATCTTTAGATAATCAATTGGCCAAAAATTTAAGTGTTAATTTCTGGACTCGGTTCTATTCCATTGATCTTAAATGCCTATCCTTAGCCAGTACTGTACTGTGGGCCCACAGGGTCAATTACTGTATCAATTACTGTGGCTTTGTAGAAAGTTTTGAAATTAGGAAATGGAAGTTCTCTGACTTAGTGCCTCTTCATTATTGCTTTGGCTACTCTGTGCCTTTTGCATTTCCCTGTGAATTTTAAGATTGGTTTCTCAATCTCTGTTTACAAAAAAAAATTCGGTTAGATTTTGATAGAGATTGTGTTCAATCTGTGTATCCATTTGGAGAGTATTGCCACTGTAAGAATATCAAAGGGCCATGCACAAGGCTCTGGGTTCCATCCTGAGCAACACACACACACACACACACACACACACAAAGAATGTCAAATCTTTCCATCCGTGAACTTGGCGTGCCTTCCCACTTATTTAGTTTTCCAGTTCTTTCAGTGATATTTTGCAGTTTTATTGTAAAAGTCTTGTATTTCTTTTGTTAAACTTATTTTTATGCTGTTATAGGATTGTTTTCTTAATTTTCTTTTTGGGTTATTCATGACTAGTGCATAGAAATACAACTAATTTTTTTATAATGTATTGATCTTATATCCTACAAACTTGCTGAGCTCGTTTGTTAGCTCAATATTTACAACCTTTTCTCTCTTTTTTTAAATATTTCTTTTAGTCGTAGTTGGACACAATACCTTTATTTATTTATTTTTATGTGGTGCTGAGGATTGAACCCAGTGCCTCACACATGCTAGGCAAGCGCTCTACCACTGAGCCACAACCCCAGCCCCATAATCTCTTCTTAATGTGTGTTTCTTTCAATATTATTCTCCTGAGTAACAGACCTCTGTTTTCAACCATTTTTGGACGTTTCCATTTAGTTGACTTCATAGGTTTTCTCTAACTTAACATTTCCAGAATTAGAAGTCATCCCCTCCACCCCACTTGTAAGTACACAAGCCAACTCTTTCCCCCTCTACAGTTCTGGCCACCCCACGTCTTATCATCTGCCTGGTCACCCAAGCCTCCAATGGGTGTACAGCAAGTTAGTTCTAACTCCCCCGTGTAGATCTCAATTGTATTCTTCCTCTGTATTGTCACTCTCCTAGCTCCGATTTTCATTCTTATTCTCCTTGGTCATTGCAGTAATTCCCTAACTGGTCTTTTTTTGGTGCGGGCCTTCCTTTACACTACCCCGAGTAATTCAGTTAAGACCAGAACACATTTATTTGAATATGAACTAGATATTAGGCGAAAAGAAGTATTGTTAATTTTCTTTGGTGTGATAAAGAAATTGTGGGGGAATGTCTTATTCTTAGAAGATGTGTCCTGAAGCCAGGCATAGTGATGCTCACCTGTAATCACAGTAGTTTGGGAGTCTGGCCAGTTTGAGGCCAGCCTCACCAACTTATTGGGGCCCTATCTCAAAATAAAAAATAAAAAGGGCTAGGGATGTGGCTCAGTGGTTAAGCACCCAGGATTCACTCCCTGGAAAAAAAAGAAGATGCATTCTGAAGAATTTGTGGTTAAATATCATGTTGTCAGCAACTTATTTTCAAATTGTTCAAGAGTGTGTTGGGGGGGGGGCAAATAAAATAAAATATAAAATTTGTTGAATTGGGTGGAGGGCATATGGGTGTCCATTGTACTATGTTTTGAATTTTTTCTCTTTGTTTGGAATATTTTAAAGAACCAAGTTAAAAGGAGGAAAGAATAGCTGGGTACAGTGATGCACTCCTACAATCCCAGTGACTCAGGAGGCTGAGGCAAGAGGATCATAGATTCAAGACCAGCAGCCTCAGCAATTTAGCAAGGCCCCAAGCAATTTAGTAAGACCCTGTCTCAAAATAAAAAAGGACTGGGAATGTAACTCAGTAGAACTCTATGCTAAAGGTTTGGAATGCATCTCCCCAGTTTTTTTTGTTGGTGGTGGTGGTGGTTTTTTTTTTTTTTTTTTTGGTATTAGGGATTGAACCAAAGGATGCTGTGCCACTGAGCCACATCCCAAATCCTTTTTTATTTTTCAATTCTGAGACAGGTTCTAATTTGTTTAGGGCCTCGAAAAGTTGCTGAGGCTGGCCTTGAACTTTCGATCCTTCTGCTTTAGCTTCCCAGGTCTGAGATTCTAGGCATGCACCACCATAGCTGGCTCACCTCTTGATTTTAAATAAAGTTTTAGTGACACACAGTCACAATCATTAATTTACATATCATCTACAACTGTTTTAAAGCCACAGCAGCAGAATTGAGTAGTGGAGACAGATCCCATGGCCACAAAGCCTAAGATATTTACTGTATGGCCCTTTGCAATAAAAGTTTGCCAGCCACAATGGTGAACAATACCGAAGGTTATGTGGTGAAATATAAAGACCTATCTCTAAGGGGTTGGGGATATAGTTCAGTTGGTAGAGTGCTTGTATCACATGCACGCAGCCCTGGGTTCAATCCCCAGTACCATACACACACACACACACACGCACACACAAGAAAAACCTGTCTCTGAATTACTCCTCCAAATACCACTCCCTAAAGGTAAGTACTGCAAGAGATCTTACAAATCTTTCCAGAAATATTCATAAAAAGCAAATATAATTCCATTCCTTCAATGAAAATGAAAATTTATATCCTTCAAATAAGCATATTCTCTTGAGGACTTTCCACATCTTTTAAAATAACTGAAATATTCTGTTGTATCATAAACTAGTTTCAATAATTATTGAACAGAGGGTCTTCAAGTGTTTTGGGAGTGTTGGTAGTTCCAACATCAGATTCTAGGTTCTGATTTCCTCGTAGTATCAAGGGAAAATTATAGCTTAATGATCCATTTCTGGTTATGGAGAGAGTGCGAAAATAGCCAAATTCAATCCATATCTCTTTCACTTTACAGCTCTTATTTCTAGAACAGTTGCCACCTAACTAGTTCTCAACATCTAGAATAGTTTCCTCTTTCTTCATCTTTCTCATTGTTAACATAAAAGCTCTATTTTTTTAAAACTCTTCTGACGTTGTAATTAAGTAAGATGTTAACATTGGATGACACTGAGTGAAAGGTGGTGTACATTTCTTTGCAACTTTCTGTACATCTATAATTATTTTGAAATAAAAAATAAATAATAATAAATTTTGAGAACTTTTACCTTTAGTATTTTTTTCTATATTGAAACATGATTGACACTCCATAATTGTTTGTTGAACAAGTAATTTTAAAAATGAACAATGTAGCCTGGCACGGTAGCCGCATGCCTTTAATCCCAGAGGCTCAGGAGGTTGAGATAGGAGAATCGCAAGTTCAGAGCCAGCCTCAGCAAAAGCAAGCAAGGTGCTAGGCAACTCTCCAAATAAAATACAAAATAGGGCTGGGGATATGGCTCAGTGGTCGAGTGCCCCTGAGTTCAATCCCCGGTACCAAAAAAAAAAGAACAATGTGTACCTGGGAGTTAGTTGATTCCCTTCCCCTCTTATCTTCTGTGGCTAGATTTGCCTTAAGTCTCCTATCTTCTCTAAATCTACCTCTGTGATCCTCCTGTTTGTACTTGGCCCCTAGAACTACGGATCAAGAGACAGAACTCCTCAGATAGCATCTCAAGCCTCAACAGCATCACCAGCCATTCCAGCATTGGCAGTGGCAAGGACGCTGATGCGAAAAAGAAGAAGAAAAAGAGTTGGGTAGGTAGAGGTTTGGGGGCGGAACTACGTAGAATCATGGTGGACCACCTCCACCTCAGTGTAGGGATCCGATCCTTCCAGGATTAACCAAGAGGTGGCCCTGCTAGTAAAATCCTCAGTCAGATATCCACTCAGAGCAAGGTCTGCTAAATTGTCCCTCCCTGCCCCCATTCCCTACTTGTCCCAAAGCTCTCCCTGCGATCTTGATACACACCTGCTTTCCTGCAGCTCTCCCTACTTGTTAGGTCAGATGCGTTAGACTCCAGAAGGAAGCAGAGAAAATACCCAGAAGGAAATGAATTACCATTTCCTTCCACCAACCCCCGACTACCTTATTCACTATAAAAAAAAAAAGATTTTTATAAACAAAGCAATTAATTCTAGATGCTTTGGGAGGTCACATCTTCCATTTGAGAGTGGTATTTGTGGAGCTTTTCTCGTTACTTTGAAAGTACTCTCGCTATTCCATATGGCTAGTACAGAGGCAGGGTTTGGTTTTGTTTTTTTAATGTGTGTGCATCCTCTTCCCCATAACCCTTAATTGACCTTGGATGACCTTCCTGAGATTCTTTAGTCAGGTCTAGACCATTTTTAGCTTCCCCAGCTCACTGTGGAAGGGAAAGCACCCTGGATGGAGGCATTTGTCCTCTGTCCCCTATTCAGGACAAGTAGCCCACAGACCTTTAGGTAGTCCAGATAGGAGCCGGCCGTGTGCAATGAGTGATTAAGTGTTGCTTCTTTTTTTTTTTTTCCCCCTTTCAAAATGCTGACTTCAAATCCCTATTTTTTTCCAGGTCTATGAGGTAAGAGACCCGGTTCCTCTCCCCTTATTTTCTCTTTCCCTCTGCCATACCTTCCCTGTTTCCAGAGCAACTCTCTCCCCATGAAAATAAAAATGGCCACTCATAACACTAACCGTAACAACCCGCCCTGGAGTTCCCGACTCACTCCACTGCATGGTCCATCCACAGCTGCCCCGCGTGAGGACAGAGGAGCGGTCTGGTCGTGGGTCAAATGGGAAAGTCAGACAAAATCCAAATCTGTTCCCTACTGCCTTCCCTTGTTACAAAATTGGACTATTCTAAAAAGAAGTCAAGTTGAGCCCACCCTGTTCAGAACATTAGCCTTCTAATTTTATTGACTTATTTAGAGACAAGGTCCTGCTAAGTTGTCCAGGCTGGCCTCGGATTTACAGTCCTCCCACCTCAGCCTCCCAAGGAGCTGGGATCACAGGTGTGCACATCACCCAGCAGAGCCTTTTTTGTTTTTGCTCCATTAAACCTAGAAGCCCAAAATAAAAGAATTACTGAATGATGGTTATCTTCACATAATTTCCAGAGTTGAATTGGGGTCTAACCTGGAGATTTAGCTCTAGAGTAAGATAATTCAGAGAAGGTGCCAGTCTAGGGTACACTTAAGTTACCTCATAGCCTAAAACCTTCTAAGCATTCACAGAGTTTCCAAGACATTTCAGGGATTAGAGTATATCTAAGATATATGGAAAGTGAACCCAAAATGCTGGTTCCAATTCAGATATCAAGATTCACTCTAACCCTGTTCCAACTTCATACTAGGTGTTGTGGCAGATATGAAGAATTGGATCCAGTATCTCAGTCATGAAGGAGACTGCAATATTGCTGGAGACACACACACAAAAATATTGTACATAGAAAATGTGTAACAGTCCAGTGGCCACAACACTTATTCAGGCAATAAGTGCTAACACAGCTCAGATGAGAGACTGTGGTCACAGCGGGCAGGCAGACATCACAGAGGCGCCCAAAGTCAAACTGAGGTGGGGCTGTGGTGGTGAGGAACACATTGGCATGCTTTGCACATGGACACTGTCTGCTCAGAAGGGAAGCAGGGGGCAAGAAAAAGTCCAGTGCAGCCAAGGCCCTGACTGGGTAAGACAGAGCACAGGTGGGAAGGCCTGATTTTAAATCTGATTCTTTAGATTAGCCTTTCCTGAAGTGTGTTCCACAGGTCACCTATCCATTGGGGCGCTCCTTAAAAAGTGACATTATCATTAAATAAATTTGAGAAGCACTACATCTTCTGCAGGACACATCTGCAGAGGAGAAGCTCTGAGATATCCAGTAAAGAATCTTCTTTCTTCATAATCCATTGTTTCCTGAACTCATTTAACCATGGAACCACATAACACTAAACATCCCCTAATAGTTCTGGCTTTGGAATACTGAATGACACATAGACCACTGTTCTCACTTAGAATCTTTTTTTTTTTTTTTTTTGTTAGTGGTGGGGGACTGGGGATTGAACCCAGGCATGCTTTACCACTGAGTCACATCTCCCGTGCCTTTTTATTTTTTATTTTGAGAAAGGGTCTTGCTAAGTTGATTAGGGCCTCACTAAATTGCTGCACTAGCCTTGAACTTGTGATGCTCCTGCCTTTAAAGTTGCTGAGATTACAGATGTGCACCACCGCACCCTAATCTCACTTGGAATCTCAGATCTTAGATCTTAGATCTCAGAGGGCTTCTGTCCCAGGCTGATTGGTTACAGAATTTCTTTCTACAAACGTACAGAGACACACAGAGCTTCCCTTAAGGCAGTGATGTGGAGAAGAGCTCACTAAATTGAAAATTAGCAAGCTTGAATTCTAGTCCCATGTCTTCCTTCAGTGATGCTGTGTCAAGCAAATCAACTCTGGCCTGATCAGCCTCGGGTCTTTATCTCCTCAGAGAACTAAGCTTTATGGTGCTTTTGAGCCCTGATTGCTCAATGATATTAAGTCCCTGGAACTATCCAGATGTGCATATATACTCTGTCACTCATCCTCACGCAGCCAGATTGGTCATCCTTTATGTCTTTCCTAGTAGAAATCCCAACACCACCCACCAGCCCCATCCTTCGCCTAACAGACTTTGTGTCCCAGGAGAGACTTTTAGAAAGGATATCCTCAAATTTTCCCTTCATCTTTCTCGCTGTCCCAAAGATCTGGTTTGCCTTTGTCCCCCATAGCCTTCGACCCCTCCTTTACTCTCTGTCTCTTGCTGCCATTCCGTGTCTGTGTCCCCGCGTGTGTGTGCATGCTGTATGGATGCATGTGAATGGGTGTGGGACAGGACCTTGGTTTGCATCTTCAGCTCACATCCCTAACACCCAAGCTCGTCAACACCGAGATTAAACAAGCTATGATCTGATTGTAATGCCCCAAGTACCTAAGTACGTGCTGGGAAACAACCATTATCCCAGGACTGCAAAATAGCAAAAAAAAAAAAAAAAAAAAAAGTGCTTATGTCTGGTTGTTTTAACCATTCTGTGATATGCTGGGCACAAAAGTACTAAATGAAATTTAGTATACCACTGCCTTTTCTCCGTCTCCACAGAATCATATTGTCAGTTTCTGATTGATTTCTAAAGAGATGAACAGGTTCAGGGCTGATAAGCCCAAGTCAGAGGTGGCATCCTGAGACCCAAAATGAACTAGACTGTGCCGTAATTGGTCTGCTGGAGAAGGTGGGATTGGATTGTTGAGAGGTATACACCATGTGACTTCTGGGGACATCTCTCCATCCTCATCAGGGGCACAGTTCCCCCCATGGGAGAGAGAGGACTCAGGAAGTTTCCATAACCTATAACAATGGCAAGCTGAAAGATTCCACTCTTTTCCTCTGCCTCAGTTTCTGGCCACTCTTCTGTCCCTGTGCCATGAATCAAAGGAAGCCTCTAGGAACAACAAGTAAATTCCCTGCCTCCACAGCTCTCTGCCCCAGATGTCCCAAATCAGTCCCCCTCCCACATCCTTAGAGTGGATCCCTGACATCTCTCTTCCTGGATCTGCTCTTTTCTAGCTTCGAAGTTCCTTCAACAAAGCCTTCAGCATAAAAAAGGGACCCAAGTCAGCCTCCTCATACTCTGATATCGAGGAGATTGCCACACCAGACTCCTCGGCCCCCTCGTCACCCAAACTGCAACATGGCTCCACAGAGACAGCTTCGCCCTCCATCAAGTCCTCCACCTCATCCTCTGTGGGCATTGATGTCACCGAGTAAGTGCTCTCACCACCTGCCACTCAGCCTGGCACTGTGTGAACGGGCAGTGAGCCCATAGACCTGGACAAACAACGCCTAACTGCGGGCCTCTCTTTGGGCATAGAAGACCACAGAGGGACCCTTCCTCCCCTACTGATTGGGTTCCGTGGGCAGGAGGAGACAAGGCTACTAGCCACGCATGGCTCTACCCCTGTAACTAGTGCTTCCCCAGTAGCCTGGCTGACACGTGCTTTCTTACAGGGCCCCTGCTCATTCAGCCCCCCACCCCAGGCTGTTCCACACCAACGAGGAGGAGGAGCCAGAAAAGAAAGAGGTATCCGAGTTGCGCTCGGAGCTGTGGGAAAAAGAGATGAAGCTCACGGACATCCGCTTGGAGGCCCTCAACTCTGCCCACCAGCTGGACCAACTTCGGGAGACCATGCACAACATGCAGGTCAGTGTCTGGGCCGAGAGCTACAGGAATGGGGAAGTCAAGGCCTGAGATCGTCCAACCCTGCCCCCCTTCCCTGTCTGTTCTTGCCGTAGTTGGAGGTGGACCTGCTGAAAGCAGAGAATGACCGGCTGAAGGTAGCCCCTGGCCCCTCCTCAGGCTCCACTCCAGGGCAGGTCCCTGGATCATCTACTCTGTCATCCCCTCGCCGCTCCCTGGGCCTCGCACTCACCCATTCCTTCAGCCCAAGTCTCACAGACACAGGTACCTGCTTGGGAGACGAGCCTGTAAGGGTGGAGAGAAGAACAGGGTTCATTCCACTGTTTCCATTCCGCTTGCTCCATGGCATTTTCCTTGGGCCAGGGAGGTAACAATGCCAAAATCAAGCAGATGCCCGTGTCAGGAGACATTAAGAGTTGTTGTGTGTTTTTAGATCCTATTGTCTTTTCAGTTTGGGGCTCCAGTTTCTTCTTTGTGGCAAATAGTTATTTGGAAGCGATTATGACTAAAAAATTTAGGAAAGCCTGTGGTGCCCCCAAACCAATTAGTCCTTTTCAAACCCCACAGACCTGTCACCCATGGATGGCATCAGCACCTGTGGTCTAAAGGAGGAAGTGACCCTTCGAGTGGTAGTACGGATGCCCCCACAGCACATCATCAAAGGGGTAAGGAACTTCAGGAAGGGCCAGCGTAGGAACCCACATAACACCGACGGTCCCCTGTTTTATGATGTACAAAAGTGACGTGCAGTCAGTGGAATCCATACTTTGAATTTTGAACTTCTCCTGGCCTAGCAGTATGCAATATGAAACTCTAATTGGGATATTGAACAGTGGCAGCAAACCACAGCTCTCAGTCAGCCAGGTGATCACAGGGGAAATGACCCTCGCTTTACAGTGGACTGCATTGCTGAGCTATGTTCAGTAGTTTAGGGGTATTAAACATCAGCTCAGGATATTTGCAATTCCTGATGAGTGTATCAGGATGTGACGTCATTATCAGTTGAAGAGCATCCGTTCTGCCATATTGTTGTAAGAAATTCAGGGTTCCGAATGCTCCATACCAGAGTACTCAAATCCCCAAGCCTTCTAGGGTCTTCCTTTCTTAGAGTCATCTGCACTGAAGCTCACATGCTTCTGCTTTGACCTTACAGGACTTGAAGCAGCAGGAATTCTTCTTGGGATGTAGCAAAGTCAGTGGAAAAGTTGACTGGAAGATGCTGGATGAAGCTGTTTTCCAAGTGTTCAAGGTAAAGGAATACATGTTCTCATCAGGGATGCTCATCCTGTCACAGGATATTGAGCCATCTATGCACTGGGACCCTGGGGACCTTGGATGCTCTATGGAGAAAGGGAACATAACAAGAACACGTGCCCTTCTCTTTCTCCACCTGCTTTTGTTTCCTCTAATATTTTTTCTTCCTTGTGGTTTTGTCAACTGCGTTGCATCTTTGCAGTGTCCCTCACCATCTCCTTCTTGTTATCCCCTCTCTTCTCTCAGGACTATATTTCTAAAATGGACCCAGCCTCCACCCTGGGACTAAGCACTGAGTCGATCCACGGCTACAGCCTCAGCCATGTGAAACGAGTGTTGGATGCTGAACCTCCAGAGATGCCTCCTTGCCGTCGAGGTGTCAATAACATTTCGGTGTCCCTCAAAGGTCAGTCTTCATCTCTTGGGGTAAGGTGGTGTGGCATCAAGTCAGGGAGGGGACCATCATGCATTTGTTCAGCAAGGATTTATTGAGAAGCTATAACTTGAAGGTGCTTGAGTAATGAGAGGTAGAAAAAGATAAATAAGATAAAGATAAGTTCTAACTTCTGTTCTCAGGAACATTTTTTAACCAAGCCTGGGCTTCTTGCTCTGCCCACTCAACTCCAGCTCAGAGTATGTCCCTAGAAACGAGGGCCAAGTTTTCAGAATTAGGGGCAAGGGGATTCCTATGGAACTGGGACACATGGCTTTGAGTGTCTTCAGTGGGCTTCTAGATAAAGAAAGGAAAGCTCTTTGGGGTCCCTTGCCCTCCTCAGGGCCACGTTCCAGACTCACGCTTTCCATGGTGGGGTTCAGGTCTAAAGGAGAAGTGCGTGGACAGCCTGGTGTTTGAGACGCTGATCCCCAAACCGATGATGCAGCACTACATTAGCCTCCTGCTCAAGCACCGGCGCCTCGTGCTCTCAGGCCCCAGCGGCACTGGCAAGACCTACCTGACCAATCGCTTGGCTGAATACTTAGTGGAGCGCTCTGGCCGCGAGGTCACCGAGGGCATCGTCAGCACCTTCAACATGCACCAGCAGTCTTGCAAGGTGGCTGCCCCCTAGATCCCCTGCCAGCCTTCCTTCAGACCCCAGTCTCCCCAGGACCTTCTCTGGGTTCCTTTCTAGCCCCCTTTTCCTTCCGTCCCCACCTGCCATAATATTTTCCCTTTCTTCAGTATTCTTTTCCTTTCTTCCCTACCTCCTTTCTTTTCTGGCCTTCTCCCTCCCCTGCCCCCCCCCAATTTCTTTCCAGACTTTTGTCCTTAACTTCTTCCACCTCCATCTCTTCTTCTTTTGTCCATAGTTCTTTCTCCACACTTGGTCTAGTAAGCTGCCTTCCCTTTAGTTGATCATTGATGAAACTGACTCCTCGGCTCCACCTCACTCTCTGCCAACTCTGTTAGTTCCATCCCTTCTCTTACTTTCTTCCCTCTTCCTTCCTTTTCTGTATTCCTCTCTAACCTTGGGCTCTCTGGGAGGAATTATGCAGAATTAAATATTATATATTGTGCCCCCCCTCCTCAGTGATGTCTTTTGTGCCCACTCTAATTCTTTGGAGTTGATTCAAATCTTAGATCTCTGCTGTTGTGGGGAGGCACATCCATTAACGGTAAAAAAGCCACTTAGAGAACAAAACGTATTCTCCAACTTTTGGGGATTTAGAGGCAACTGCTTAAGATGGTTGCTTGAGAGCCTCTAGGAGCACTGTTTATCAGTCTGTGGTAAATCTGGTTCTGAAATCAAATGTATAAGTGCAACAAACAGGAGCCAAAGGCCCCAAGAAAATCCAGAACTAGCAGAGTTTCTCCAAAATTCCTTCCAGTGCGAATCTGGGTGCCAACTCCTGAGTGTTAACCCACGATTTTCTTTGATTCCAGGATCTGCAACTGTACCTCTCCAACCTAGCCAACCAGATAGATCGAGAAACAGGAATTGGAGATGTGCCCTTGGTGATCCTACTGGATGACCTGAGTGAAGCGGGCTCTATTAGTGAGCTGGTCAATGGGGCTCTCACCTGCAAGTATCACAAATGGTAAGCTGGGGTGGGGACTCATCACAATGGGAAGGGGAGGTCCAGTCCAGACCAACCTATGAGCTTTCCATCGTGTGTACGTGTGTTAAGACAGATCTAAGTGAATCTTTAATCCTTTCTTTCCCCAGTCCCTATATTATAGGTACCACCAATCAGCCTGTAAAAATGACACCCAACCATGGCTTGCACTTGAGTTTCAGGTAAGAACCTTGGCACTGGAAGAACCTTCTAACCCTACCCAAGAGCCTACACACTAATTAAATCCTGGGCTCTGAGAGCAGAGGGGCACTAAGTACCAGAAGGAAAGAAAAGTAGCCAGAGCCTCTCAGGCTGGGCAGAGAAAATAGATATATTTGCACGTTAGCTACAAGGCAGAGCGGGACCTTTAAGGAGATGAAAGGATAGCAAAACTAGGAGGGACTCTGATAGGCTGCTGTAATAGGATTCTCTGCCTTTCCACCCTGACCCAGATCAGAGAAGTCAGGTGGTTATTTGAAGAGGGACACTGATTTGAGAACAGCTCTGCAGGAGGGGATGAATCCTCAGTGTCCCCATTGCCATTCTGACCCCACTCTCCCCATTCCTGGTGGCAGGATGCTGACCTTCTCCAACAATGTAGAGCCAGCCAATGGCTTCCTGGTGCGTTACCTGCGGAGAAAGTTGGTAGAGTCAGACAGTGACATCAACGCCAACAAGGAAGAGCTGCTTCGGGTGCTGGACTGGGTGCCTAAGCTGTGGTATCACCTCCACACCTTCCTGGAGAAGCACAGCACCTCAGACTTCCTCATCGGTACAGGACTCCAGCTCCCCTGGGGCAAGAGACAGCTTCCCTCTTATAGCGCACCACAGGCGGGTGCTCCCTTTGCTTTCTGGAGTCTTCATTCTGCAAAGGAGTTGCAAGCCTTGTGGCTGCAGACTTAGAACCACTTAACCATTAAACCATGAGTCCCAAGTTTTCAATTCTGTAAATGTTTCAACAAAATTGACACAGGTACATCAAATTTGTTGGAAACCACATTCTACAACTCATAGAGCCTTTACGTATTAGCATGACCCCTGATTCAAATAAATTAAAATAAAATAAGAGGGATGGGGTATAGCTCAATGGTAGACGACTTATTTAGGATGTGCAAGGCTTTGGAAAAACAAAACTAACTCCTCCCTCATCTTTCCCCACAATTAAGGAGGGAAAATATATAGGAGGGAATGGAAGCTCCTCTTGTTCCCTGTCTCCCTTCTATATTGTGAGGCATGATTTATGAGACTGTCCCCCAGGCACTCAGTGCCTACCGGTCATGATAATTCTAAATTTCCTTTGATAGTCTGGATGTCAGGCCCTTCTGCTTGGTACTAACAGATAAAGGAGGCACAAGACTGGGGAGGTGTAGGTATCTCAGCCATCTGCATGATCTCATTTTTTTCCCTAGGCCCGTGCTTCTTCCTGTCCTGTCCCATTGGCATTGAGGACTTCCGGACCTGGTTCATTGACTTGTGGAACAACTCCATCATTCCCTATCTGCAGGAGGGAGCCAAAGATGGGATCAAGGTAAGCCCCACCCTCTGACTCCTCTCAAACTCCACCATCAGGCTGTCCCACCTAGTAAAGGAGAAACATTTCTTCAATATTTAGCGTGGAACTATTGGGATTAGTTAGGTTCTCTTTAAAAAGATAGAGCAAGGTCTGTGTAGACTAAGCTGCTTTCCATTTGGCAGATGACTCAATGGCCACTGCCTCTAAGGCTCTCTCTCTAATCCTAGGCCTCTGGCTCTAAGCCCAGTTCACACCACTTTGTAGAAGGCAGAGCAATAGAAAATTGAGCTGGGAATTAAGTAAAGCTCTATTATAGCCTTAGCTATTTACTAACTACTAATCAGTATGGTACATTGACCAAAGTTACTTAACCTTTTTAAATGTCCTCATGTATAAAAAAGAGAGAGAGATAAATTCTGCTCTACCTTGTTTTGAAGACAAACAAAATAAGTAAAAAGATTTTTAAGTCAAAAAACTTTGTATAAGAAAGGAGCCATTTTATTTTTTATTATTAGATTTATTTATTTATAATAATAATAATAATAATTATTATTATTATTATTATTATTATTATTATTATTATTATTTGGCACAAGGATTGAACTCAGGGGCACTTGACCACTGAGCCACATTCCAGCCCTATTTTGTATTTTATTTAGAGACAGGGTCTCACTGAGTTGCTTAGCATCTTGCTTTTGCTGAGATTGGCTTTGAACTCATGATCCTCCTGCCTCAGCCTCCGGAGCTACTGAGATTACAGGCATGCACCACTGTGCCCAGCTTAGATTTATTTTTATTTTATTTTGAGTTTTTGATGGAGGAAATACCAGGGATGGAATTCAGGGGCACTCGACCACTAAGCCACATCTCCCACCCTATTTTGTATTTTTTTTATTTAGAGACAGGGTTCCAAACTCAATCCTCTTGTCTCGGCCTCCCAAGTCGCTGCGATTACAGAAGGGTGCCACCACACCCAGCCTTAGATTTATTTTAAAGTGATGAATTAAAAACACAAAATACAAATTAATGGAGTACCAAGTGATGATTCAATACACGTGTACATCGTGTAATGTTTAAGTCAGATTAAACATACCTACCTCCTCAAACATTTATCATTTCTTTGGTAAGTAATACATCCTCTTGCACTTAAAATCCTTTTTCTTGCTTTTTGAAATTTACATTATTGTAATCTATAGTTATCCTACTATGCAGTAGCACACCAGAACTTCTCTAACTTCTAACTAACTACAACTGAGTACCCCGTGATCAACTTTTCCCCATCTTTGTCCCTTCTTCTCTCCCTCACCTCTGGTAACTACCATTCTACTCTCAACATCTGTATAAAGTTGACTTTTTTATTGATATAAATGCAGTATTTGTCTTTTTGTGTCTGGTTTATTTCATTTAACATAATGATCTCCAGTTCCATCCAATTTTTGCAAATGTCAGGATTTTATTCTTTTATAGCTGAATACAGAGAAATTTTTAGATAGGGCTTGCTAAAATGCAGAGAATACCTTTGACAAAATTCAGCACCATGATAAAAACACTGAGGAAAGTAGGGGAAGAAGGAACTTACCTTAACTTCATATATATATATATATATATATATATATATATATATCTCACAAAGCCAACATAACAGTGAATGGGAAAAACCTGAGTGCAGTTCCTCTAAAATCAGGAACAAGACAGTGTGTCTGCTTTCACCAGTCTTATTCAACATAGTTCTTGAAATTTTACGCAGAGCAATTAGGCAAGAGAAGGAAATTAAAGGGACACCAATAGGAAAGGAAGACAGGTGTAATCTCAGCTGTTTGGGAGGCTGAGGCAAGAGGATCACAAATTTGAGGTTTGCCTAGGCAACTCAGTGAGACGCTGTCTCAAAAAATAAAAATGGCTGAGGATGCAGCTCAGGTTAAAGACCCCTGGGTTTAGTCCCTTGTACTGGGGGGCGGGGGGCGAAGAAAGGAAGAAGTCAAATTATCACTGTTTGCAGATGATATGATTCTTTACTTAGAAGACCCAAAAAGCTCCACCAGAAGACTGCTAGAACTAGGAAACAAACACAGCAAAGTAACAGCATTGCAGGATACAAACTCATAGACAAAAATCAATAGCTTTCCTATACACCAATAATAAATTTGCTGAAAAAGAAATCAGGAAAACTGTCCCATTCACAATAGCCTAAAAAGCAAAAAAAACAACAGACAAACAAAGAAAAAAAAAACCTAAATCTAGAGCTGGGCATGATGGCTCACACCCATAATAAAAATAATAATTCTAAAGAAGAATGAAATATCATTTGCAGGAAAATGGAACTTGAGAGCATTATGTTAAGTGAAATAAACCAAACAGAAAATGAAGAGCCATATGTTTTCTCTGACATGTGGAAGCTAGAGAGAAAAAAGGGGGAAAAAGGTTTGTGTGTGTTGGTGGGCAGGGGGGGTGGGTCTCATGAAAATAGAAGGGAGCCCAGTAAAATAGAGGAAGGAGTCCAGGAAAGTAGGGAGGGGAAGGATAGGAGAGGTCCTGGGATCCAATTATATTGTTATATCGTGTGCACGTACAAACATGTAACAACAGATTCTACTATTATGTATAAATATTATGCACCAATAAAAAATAAAAACATTTTCACATAGATAATGTCTGTTTTCAAGAAAGTTAAAAAAAAATAAAGGTATTATGAGTAATGTAGAATTTCCTACTTGTAAAGCAAAATCACAGGGTCATAAAATTTGTGTTATATTATGTTTCAATGCACCCTTGGATCCATAAACAGATGAACAAAGAAAGTGTGGTATTCATATATACATAATAGAAAGCCATTCCTACTTAAAAAAGAAAGGAGTCCTGTCATTTGCAAAGACATGGAGGAACCTGAGGGACATGATCTGAAGTGAAACAAGCAGGGTCCAGAAAAGAAAGAACCCATGATCTCAATCTTATGTGGGATCCAAAAAGCTGAACTCAAAGAGAGTAGAATGGGGGTTGCCAGAGACTGGGGAGGTGGGAGTTGGGGCTGTGTTAGTCGAAGAACACAAAATTGCAGTTCTACAGGAAAATTAAATACAAGAGTATAATGTGTTAACTGTGATTAATGTATTACATACTTGAAAAGAGAATAGATTTGTGTTCCCACCTTACACAAAAAAGTATGTGATCTCACATGCATATATTAATTTAGTTCAATTTAGCTACTCCACAATTTATGCATATTTCCACAAACATGGGTTTTCTTTTTGGTGTTTGTTTGTTTGTTTGTTTTGGTTCCAGGGATTGAACACAGTGGACTGAACTCAGTAACCAGCCCTTTTTTTAAATTTTATTTTGAGTCAGGGTCTGGCTGAGTTGCTTAGGGCCTCTCTAAGGCTGGTTTTGAACTCATGATCCTCCTGCCTCCGCCTCCCAAGCTGCTGGGATTACAGGCATATGAAATAGATGTAATTTTTGTTTGTCAATTTAAAGAGTAAAATTAAAGAAAGATTTTTTTTACAGCTTTACTACAGTTTGTTATATTATCAAAATGATTTATATCAGTTTATACAAACATCTTCCTCGTTGGGAAGCTCAGGAAAATTCCACAGGAATAAGAGCCTCAAATTTTGTTCTGGTGGTGGTGATGGAGTAAACTATGGGAGATCTCCCACTGAGCTACATCTTCAGTCCTTTTTATTTTGAGAGAGGATCTTGCTAAGTTGCCCAAATTGGCCTTAAATTTGCATTCCTCCTGACTCAGCCTCCCAAATTGGTGGGATTATAAGTGTGTGTCACTTCACCTGGCCAGAGCCTTAAATCTTTACATTTGAGGGAGTGCATGTTTTGAAGGAATATGATTTTGTGCAGGAACTATAAGAGAGTACACAAACAAGCCTCTAATCTGTGGATTCCCCTCCCATTAATTTCTCTTCTCCAGGTTCATGGGCAGAAAGCTGCTTGGGAGGACCCAGTGGAGTGGGTCCGGGATACTCTTCCCTGGCCATCAGCCCAACAAGACCAATCAAAGTTGTACCACCTGCCTCCACCCACTGTGGGTCCTCACAGCATTGCCTCACCTCCAGAAGACAGAACAGTCAAAGACAGCACTCCAAATTCTCTAGATTCGGACCCTCTGGTGAGTATAAGCCACACTAAAGTGAAAATAAAAGTACTGATGGATGGAATTTTTCCATTGTCTTCATGCATATTCAGAGGTGGGGGCTAAAGGAATTGAAAAGTTTCAACAAGTCCAGGACCAGAATGTAGCCAGTACAGAGCTCTGAGTACAGAATCTTGAGTTAGAGATTGCATGCTTACAGCCTTGCTGAAGCTAATTAATAATACATTCCAGCAAGATGCATTCAAGTAAAGACCCAACTTTCAGGCAGATTCCATGTAGAAATACCAACCAAAGAAGTAGAGCAATATGACACATTAGCACTCTCTACTTCTTCCTTTCTTCTGCTACAATCCTGAGGACTGCTTCAGCTAAATGGATTTCATGCAACCCCTGTAGAAACCGGGCTGAGATGCATGACAAACTGGGCAGACATATCTAGATCCTCAGACTCTAATGAGGAAAGGCAAATTCAAACAAGGGAATAGTGTTTCACATTGGCAAAATTAATGTGTGGAAGCATACATAGACTTCACACTCTGCATGGGAGTGTTCATTGGTAAAACTATTCCAGAGGACATTCAGCAGGTTATATTAAAATTTAACATATTTAGCTAGGCGCGGTGGCATATTCCTGTAATCCTAGCAACTCTGGAGGCTGAGGCAGGAGCATCACAGGTCCAAAGCCAGCCTCAGCAGATCTTAGCAACTCAACAAGAACTTGTTTCTAAATAAAATACAAAAAAAGGTTTGGGGATATGGCTCAGTGGTTAAACGCCCCTGGGTTCAATCTCCAGTACAAAAAGAAAAAAGAAAAACTTGCACAAATCCAATGGCCTTGCAGTTTTACCTCTCAAGTAGGAAGTCTTCCAGTTAAGTCATAATGCATTTTTATTTAAATTTTGACCTTGTCAAAAACAGATAAAGATAAAGAAAAGGAGATGAAAACCCTGAGATGTTTAGACCTGACATAGGGTTTATTAGCTGGGGAGAAACAGATTCATATAACATGGAGCCTCGCTGCTGGGTTATGATCTCCTGGAATGGGAATTGTTAGAGACAAAAGTGTTCTTATGACACTTCTCACATTTCCCCCAGTATTAGTGGGATGTGTGTTTCTTCTGCCCTCCCCTGAAGGGCACTCATGATGCAGGCAGAGGTGGTTCCCCCACACATCACACACGGCACCCTGTATAACGGAGATACCCCCAGGTGACCGCGTCCTTGCATGTATTTACAAACAGGGTTGAAGTGATCATCATGCTTTTCATAAATAACCTCTTAACTCCAAGCTTTTAATCATTTCCAAACCAAGAATCAAACTTACGATCAAGGTTTTTCCTGTTTCCCTTCTGCAGGCAGGACCCAGCCTCCCTACTCTCATTAGTCTATTCCTTTGCCCCTCTTTAGATGGCCATGCTGCTGAAACTTCAAGAAGCTGCCAATTACATTGAATCTCCAGATCGAGAGACGATTCTGGACCCCAACCTCCAGGCAACACTCTGAGGTCCCAGCAGTCACTGTCACCCCGGACTACAGAAGGCTGGCATCAGCTTCCTTAGCTCCTCCTCTCCCCTCTTCTTTCAGAGTGCTAGCTCTCCAGCCGAGGAGGAGAACAGGAGGGAGGAGGAGGATAAGAAGAGGGGCAGGTTCTTGGTGCTGCACCTTGGAGAACTTCCTACTAGGGATTGGTGGGGTAGAGTTTGGGAACTTGTGTCCCCTAAATACATTTACTGGCCTCCTCTCACCATTTTGGGGAAAAGATGATTCTGGGTCTTTTCCTTGATTTCTTATTTCAATTATAAATTCCTGGGCTTTCTGGGAAAAGGGGTTCAGAAGACATCAAAAAACTCTGCAGCAGCTCCTGATTCTCACAAACAACTCCGAGACAGTCACAGGTGGGGAGACCTGAGGGAGGCAGGACTCTCCGCAGACTTTCTTGCAGACCCTTCCCAACTCCATCACCACTGCCAACAACTCTTCCCCCAGAAATCTGGCCGGAGCCCAGAAAAGAAGCATGTGGTTTAAACAATGTGTAAATCAACCTGTAAAAGGTAAAATGCAATGGAAAAGATGAATCTGGAGAGAGGGGACCCAGTTGCCAAGCAAGAAAGAAAACTGCCAGCTCTTGCCTTCTGGATAACAGGGGATGTTGACAAGATGCCTGCCAATCTAAGAAGTCGCCAAACCACAAAAATAACATTACAGCCTTCAGAGAAAGACTCCTAGCTCTGTCTTTCTACCCTCTAATTTAACATGCATGAGAGTCAATAAACCCTACTTTTTAATTTTTTATTTTTTTTATTTTGCATTGATTTTTTTCCCCCTACCATCTGCCTATTTATTTTCCTCCCCTGCTTCCCCACTTCTTCACATGTCCATGAGATACTGGGTTGCTTTTTGAGGGGTTAGTTTGGCTTTTCCAAGTGGATTTTCTTGGGAGAATCTGATGCCATCTAATTAGTACCAGCTAAACACCTGTCATGCCACTCTATGTGGCATCCTTAGGGCCTATATAAGACGTGAAGCACTGGATCAGCAGTAGTGGGAGAAGAGGAACCCAGTTCCTTTAACTTCCCTTTCGCAAAAAGCACACGTTCTGGCCAGGAGCTCAATTGGCAACTTTGAGCTTCATTGTCGACTGTAGGAAAACCAAAAAATTGGAGAGACTCTTCTATCTTGTGGCTTGCTTGTCCCTCTCACTGCACTATTTAATGGTAGCCATTTCACCTGACTGAATCAAAATTCCCCAGCCAGCCCTTACTATTTGTTTTTTACAGGTGAGTATTCACTTGTAAGAGACTGAACAGCCACGTGAGACACTCCAAATCAGAATTATAGGTTCAAGGAGCTTGATTTGGTGGCCAATATCTGCCTTCTGGGGAGATCCCACATCTTGCAAGAAGTTGCTCTTTTCCTGATGTCCTGAAAGTCTGCCGGTCCATGTTCCTTGGGTTGACGGATACCGAGTACTTAACTGTGTACCAGTTACTAGATTTTAAAAAATAAGAGACAAGACTTGGGCCCGTAAGCTCATGTCTAGTAGAAAATGTTGACACCCCATTAAATGCATACTACCTTGTATCTGGACCTTCAGGATCACCCAAGAAATGTAGCTGAAATCCAAGAAGTCAACTAAGAAGCCTTTGATTAGATGTCTAATACATTGGGGGCAGAAGATCTGGGATCAACTAAGGTGGAACCTGAAAGACTATGGAATCTTGCTTGTCTGGAGTTGGCAAGTCTACTTCCTGCCACTTCTGAAAGCCCTAAGGGAACAGATTCCAGGCTGAACTGCCAAGTGGGCTGAAATTTCAGGGCTCTGCCAATCAGGGATATGTGGTGAGCTTGGGTTTAAAAGTTTGCTGTTCAGATTCCTAAGTAGCACAAGACTATCAGATTCTACAGGCATTCTGGATCACTCTGTTCCACCCAACCGAGGAGTAGATTCATCTGAATCTTCATATCAGAATATTTTCATTTAGCTCCCAAGATGGTCTAGTTTATCACCCCCCCCACCCCGAAGAAAAGCTTCTGTTTTCACATGGTAGCTCCCAGGGAAGACAGGGTCCTCTGTGCTGGAGACTATTATTGCTATTGCTGCTAATTCCATGAGCTGTGAAGATCCCCCAACCAACTTGGCTGTAAAATATGCAATTCTGTGGTGGGAAGAAGCTGTTTGTCCAAGGATGGTGCTGAAATCACTGCCTTAAGGTCTCTGATGCGTAAAATGAGGCCCCAGAGCTGGGTGTTCCAAATTAGAAGGAAGGAAAGACCAGATGGGCTTGCTTTGGACCTAGGCCTCTTCTGTGTACCCTATTCCAAGCTCCAGTCCCATGGCAAGGCTTAGACTTTTAATGCCATCTTAATCTGATGGTTGAGCCCTTAACTCTACTTTCCGGTGCTGCCCAGCCAGTGCCTTCTGACATGGATGTTACTGGCTACTTGAGAAAAAGGAGAGGGGAGAGCCCCTTCTTCCATTCCAACTGCCTCAGACCGCAGAGAGATTCTGGTCTCTCTGGTAACCATGGATACCACCATGAATTTTGTGTGGATCTTCAGCAGGTTTTTTTCTGGAGGCTTCTCGTGCTCTGACTTTTCATTTCTATTCTTGGGATCCATCACCCTCTGCTCTTGGTTGACTGCTGCATTTAGCCCAGGTGTCTAATTGCTTTCCTCCAGAAAGTGTGTTCCCAACTTTGTGAAGTGGTAATGAAGCCTCAGCTTTCCCTCTGCAGCCTGGGACCTTGTTTACAGTTGCACATCTGGGCCCCTCATGGTGGGGACTGATCATCTCACAAAGGAATCCTGAGTATTTGGCAACTGTAGAAGAAAGTTGGGCCTCCTCATGGTGCTATAACCCCTTGGGACGCTCATCCAGACTTCTCTGAAGCAGAACACCAAGCTCCCCTGACCTGCTGCAAGAATGAACGGCAAGGAGCAAATCCGCAGCGTTCTCTCCTACCTACACACCTGCTTCTTGGTTGAGACTACTGGGATCCCTCAAAAGAGAAAACCGGGTCCCATAGCTAAATTCTCAACCCCCAGGCACCTTTGGAAGAATCTGGCCTAATTCTGGAATTTGTACTGCTTCCTTCCTCTCCAGCCCCTGACTTCATCCCTTACCAAAGCGAGCTAGTATAGAACATGGTTCAATACCTAACATCAATCTATGGGGAGAGCCACAACTCAGAGAGAGGTTCCTCGGCAGAGTCCCTCTCATTTCTGGATGGGGAAGACCAACAAGATGTGTCCAATATATTTTTTTCTCAGTCCCTGCCTAGGCACTAAAAATAAAATACTAGCAAATTGGAGGCTAATATGGGACCTGGTGTGTGTGTGTGTGTGTGTGTGTGTGTGTGTGTGTGTGTGTGTGTGTGTGTGTGTGTTTGGTCTCACATACACACACAAGCAGATGGCTGTTGCTATGTCCTATCCTGAGGCTTCGTAGAGTATATTTAAGAATTCTATTCTTTGTGGCCACTTTACGGTGCTTATTTCTGTCTTCATATAAATTCTATACCAATGCTCTTCGTGTAGTGTAGCCATTGAGAAGGTAGAGGCTGACAGGAAAGAAGAATTGGCTAAAAGTCCATGGAGAGACCGATGTACTACATTTTGGTCTTGAGTTACCAACCTTCCAACTAATCCATCCATACTCCTTAAGGACTGAAGACAAATAGTGATTTTTTTTTTCCTTTTCATTTCTTGCCTTCTGGTTTTCCTGGTTTGCAAGAGTATGAGTGCACCTAATCTTATCTGTTAGTTCTAGATCCCCAAGACATACTATTCAGAGGGATACCATGACTTCTAGTGGTCTGAACTCTATTTCCTGTAGTATTCCAAAGAGTGGGAAGAGAGAAGCAGTAACAAACATCCTTATGTGGAAGGGCACCCGTGTGCAGCAACCCAGCATGTAGGTGAAATTTGCCTGACTGAATGGGACTCCGTCCTGCAAAACCAAGATCAAAGTGATGCTTACAATGAGACATTAAGGATTCTTTATTCCAATGTGTTTGCGAGGGAAAGATGTTTAATTACACATTCATACATTCAGCGGGGTTCACATTGGCAAATGCAGCTCTTCATCATACTTTTCTTTCCTTAATCCTGTACCCCATAAGCCACCTTCCATGATAGGACAAAAAAAAAGGTCATATGGGGCACTATGTTCCCAAAGCCTGATATTGCCCTTTATAACTGAATCAGTTTTATATATTCATGACATCAATCAATCTCCAGAGATCTATCTCACTGCCCAGAGGGCAGGTGTGTGTGTCTGCTCAGCCTAGCCCTAGAAGCAAGTACTGCCACCACAGATCCTAGAGAAGGTAGAACAAACTGGATAGAATTATAGACTTAAAGTAAGGGAACCTCTTGAAATTCAGAAGCTGCAGGGAGACCAAGGCAGATACAGATGTTTTAACCATTTTTCTTAATGTTTATGACTTGGAAAATTTTCTATCATGTGATTATGAAAGTGAACCCCTAGTTTCTTGGTTCAGCCCTTCAATTATGAAGACCATGGTTCTCAAAAAGGATGGTTCCAGACTACTAGAATCAGCAGCAGCATCTGGGTACTTATTAGAAATTAAATTCTCAGGCTCCACCCTGGGCCTAATGAGTCAGAAACTCCAGGGGTAGAGCCCAGCAACTCCTGTGAAGAAACCCCGCAGTGAATCTGATGCACGCTGAACTTGGAGATTTGACTGTTTTAAAGGGAAAGCTAAGTATCAGAGTGCCTACTTTCAGGGGCTTTAGGACCAAAAATAAGAAGGTCCTAGGTTATAATCCAGATGTTACTATTAGTTTCAACATCACTTTTATCATACTTCTTTATGTTTCGGTTTTCCTTATGTTTAATTTAACAAAGGAAACAATATGTGCGCTTCCAGGTGGAAGTTAGAGGAGTGTTTGCAGCTTTCCTAGTTGAATGCAACCTTCAGAGAAAAATGTCACCTGAAATTTCGACTTGGCAATCTACACGGAGGAAAGTGGTTGGAGGTCTCTTCCAGATTGCTCTTCTGGTGGACAATTTGTGTCTATTCTTACCTTTTCCCAATTATGTAATAAAATGGGAAAAGTAAAAAAAAAATAAAAATAAAAATAAATTAATTTGTATTTCCATAACAAAATGTTCTCCCAGGAACAACCCTCTCCTTTATTTGAGTTGCAAAGAGCACTACTGGTCTGAGAACCTGGTCAGAACCTTCTTCCCCAAGGCAGCTAACAACTTAAGGGTTCCAGGATTCCAAGGAGACCCCTTCTCTGTGCTCTGTTGGGCACCTAAATCCTTGGACTTAAGCTTTCCCCACACCAGGTCGTGGATACAGAACTACTCAGCCAAGGCAATAGAATAAAATCCTTAAAAAAAAAAAAAAAGTCTGAAAAGAGCTTCATATATTTCAAAGTTCACAGACTCATGGGGCCATGGGGGAGATAAGGTTGTTTGGAACTGGTTTTGTTTCAAGTTTGTTGATTTTCTTCCCTGTGAAAGAGCTTGAGGATTGAGCACAAAGAAACGTAATAGGACAGGTCTCCTGTGCCCTGGCACTCAGCACTTGGAGGAAGGACTAAAGCCGAAGGAAGGCAAATAATTGCACTAAAATCACTCCCTTAGTCCCCCAGAAAGCCTGCCATGCGTCCTCTGGCCAACTCTGAGGGGGTCACCCTGCTTCCCTGCCATTTTTCTGAGAAGGAAGAAAGTAAGGAACAGGCTTGTGTTGCGGCCAATCTCTGGGCTACTGCTGTGCAGTGGGCCACCACTTCCTAATGTTCTTTTGTTTAAAAAAAAAAAAAAATCTTTTTTTTTTTTTTAATGAATTCTCTAGCTTCCTTCCCCCCCACCCCCACCCCATCCTGTTTGGGTCAGCACTCTGTGATGGAGTTTGTGTTTCTCAAGTGCATGGTGTTCCTCAGGTGGAGGGTGGGCAGGAATTTTCACAACAGTTTTTTGTTTTTGTTTTGTTTTTAATTTATTGGGCACAAAACCTCAAACCAGGATGTGTGTGTTTATGTATGTGTGTGTGTGTGTGTGTGTGTGTTTGATTGATCTGTTGTTGTTGTTTTTTTTTTTTTCCTCTCTCATTTGACCCTTGCCTCTTCCAACCTACTCCCTTTTATAGCTAATGTAGAAAAAGCAAAATTGAATCTGGAAAGGAAATGGTTGTATATAGTTGCGGTAACAATCATGAAGAGAGCTGGGCTGTCCCCTCAGTAATTCATTTTAAAGAACAAATTGGTCAAAAATTAAATTCATGCCTGGGCCAGCTGAAGAGGCCTTCCTCCCTCACCATGGTGGTCCCCCTCATCTGGGCCCTCTGTTCTCAGGCATGTCTCTTCTCAGCAAGATTCATCTGTTCAATGCCATTTGCGTTTCAATAAAGTTATCTCCTGTATTGTCCACTGGTTCTCCAGCTCCTTCTCTGCCTGATTTCTGTCTCCATTTATTTTATGACCCATTACTTGATCTGGAAAGTAAGTCTGGTTGTGGTCATTTGCCAAACCCAGAGGCAAACCCACCTGCCTGGAAATGCCCAAACCCCAAATCCTAAATGGAATCTCTTTTGACTCCTTTGGTTGAGGTGGGGATGTCTCTGAGTCCTCCATCCATTGCCACAAAGTTTGAAAACATACCACCTGCTGGACATCCCTGAATTTTTTTTTTTTTGGAGGGGGGGTTAAAAGTGAATTAACCTTTAAGTAACTGTTCTAAAAATGAAATTCAGTTTCTCCTCCTGGCCACTAGAAGAAGGAAAATAAGTCTTAACTATTCTCTATTGTGGAATTCAGGTCCAAGAAGCAATCTTCTCCCTATGAAAGTATTGTGGTAACACAAACCACCTCTGCCCTCCTAACATGGGAGGTGATAAATGAGTACTCCTCAAAATAAATCAAGAAAGCATTCTGAAGCATTCTTCTGGAAGAATCCTCAGATGAGGTGACTTCATCTTCATCAGTTGTTAATAGTTTAGCATCCACAGTCTTGGAACTGTCTTAAGAATTACTAGTTTTGGGGATGGGGATGTGGCTCAGCGGAAGAGTGCTCGCCTAGCATGTACAAGACCATGGGTTCAATCCTTAGCACCACATAAAAATAAATGAAATAAAGGTATTGTGTCCAACTACAACTAAAAAATAAAATATTAAAAACAAAAATTACTAGTGTCCTTTGCCACTTGGAAATGACAGTAAACATTCCTGGAAACCACCTTATGAACAGCTTACTAAGAAATACCTGTTCCTTTTTGCTCCAATAACATACAATTGCAATTGCATTCCTTTAGCCACTACATACTTGCCAGGCTCCCAGGTTTATTTTTTGTTGTTTTTGTTTGTTTGGTTGGTTGGTTTGGTTTTCATGGCTTTGGCTTTTTGGTTTTTTGGTACTGGGGATTGAACTCAGGGGCACCCAACCACTGAGCCACATCCCAATCCTATTTTGTATTTTGTTTTTGAGACATGGTCTCACTGAGTTGCTTAGTGCCCGGCTTTTGCTGAGGCTGGCTTTGAACTCCTGGTCATCCTGGCTCAGCCTCCCCAGAGGAAGCACAGGGGTTACATTTCCCGGGTTACCTCACCGGCCAGGCTCCTGTATTTTCTTTTTTTATTTATTTTTTAAATATTTATTTATTTTTTAAATATCTTTTCTAGTTGTAGATGGACACAATATCTTTATTTTTATGTGGTGCTGGGATGGAACCCAGTGCCTCACACATGCAAGGCAGGCACTCTACCACTGAGCTGCAGCCTGTATTTTCAACTCCTCTCTAATTTCTTCCATCTACATTGTTAAGTAGTATATACCCTGGGCCATTTCGTATATTAAATAACTTCTGTTCCCACTTCTTGAGATGTCCAGCCATAATTTCACTTGAGGGAGGTGGCATATATTCTCAGCTATCAAATTCTCACATAAAGTGTCAATCTGGAGAAAATACCCTTTTTTTTTTTACAAGTTGGTACTCTCCCCTTCCATCACCTTCCCATTTTGAGGTTGGGTTCATCTAGGCTGGAAGGTAACCCTACCCACGCCCAGGCCCACGCCCATTGCCCACTTCCTTTCAGTTTCTCCCAGCGCCCTATCTGTGGTTCCTAAGGCTAATCGATGAAGAAATTAAATTTAGCCATTTTTTTTTTTCGTCTGTGGTGGGTGGGTGGAGGAGAAAGAAATTGATTTAAAATGGGTGGTCTTTCTGACTCAGTCTCCTCTCTTTAAAGCCCTCAAAAGAATCCTTTTCCTTTTTCATTTGGGTGGGGTGGGTATTGGAGTTGGAACCAGGGGCGTTTCACCATTGAGCTACATACCTAGCCCTTTTTATTTTACAGAGGTCTTGCTAAATTGTTGAGGCTGGTCTTGAACTTCAATCCTCCTGCCTCAGCCTGCCCATTCTCTGGGATTACCGACATGCATCACCACACTCAGCCCTCGTCATCCATTTCCACCCCACCTCCTCTCTCCTAACACAGTGTCTAATATGTGAACGACCCTTGAGTCTAAAGGCGTACACCACAGCCTTTATTCTAAGTGAGATGGCTCACCTACTGTGCGACTTAGAAAAGCCCCTTAATCTCTCTGGGATTCCCTTTCGACATAAATCTGAAGCGATCCTTGCTGACAAAGGTGCAGTTTTCGTTTAAGCGGCAAGAGGCGCTGTCTCTGGAGGTTTAGATCCATTCCCCGCCTCCCGCCCGCTCCCGCGGAATCTGGTGCGCAGGCGCGGCTTCGTGGATTGGCCGTGCGCGGGAGCCGTCATTCAGTGGCGGGTCCGGGCTGGGGGACTGAGGGGAGAAAAGATGGCGGCGGCAGCTGCAGCTGGTGCGGCCTCCGGGTTGCCAGGTCCCGTAGCACAAGGATTAAAGGAGGCGTTGGTGGATACTCTCACTGGGATCCTGTCCCCAGTGCAGGAGGTGCGGGCTGCTGCCGAGGAACAGATTAAGGTGCTGGAGGTGACGGAGGGTGAGTGAGGTGGGACCGTCACGAGGATGGTTGGGACCTGTGCGGGCCTCACAGTCCGCTGACTGCAGCTCGGGACCGGCAAGGCACACACGGAGCTGTGCCAGTGGAGAGCTGGGCGCCGGGGAGTGGAGTAGGAAGCGCGAGAGGTTGATGTCGCTGGAGGCTGTGAAAGTCCCAGAGACCAGAGGCGCGTCTGAAAAGAGCGGGGCCGGAGAGGTGGAGCCTCCGCGGGGAAAGGAGGGTGGAGACTTGAAAAGAGATGGAGCCTGGGATCTGCCGAGGACAGAAATGGAGATCGACTTTGTGGTGTTGGTGCCGCGCGCTCTGGGAGATCATTTTTGCTTGCAGGACCAGGGTCTTTAGCTATTCTCATCAGCTTGATTGTATTGTGATTAGAGTAGGGGGAGCTGTTAGAAATGGCTAGAGGGCAGTGGCTATCAAATCTAGTGGATGTCATCAAACAAGTTTCTGCCACTGACTTTAAACCTGGCTGGTTGTTTGTACGTGTCATGTTGTCTCATAATTTATAAGTTATAAGCACATGCAGCTGCACCTTTCTGATCACACTCCCCGTGTATTTTCGGAGTCATTTGCAGTTATTAAATACGATTTCTGTGTGGAGGAACCGATCTTCCTTTGTTTTTGATCTTTGTCCCAGTCCTCCTATTATGTGTGTTAAAGTGATGGAGGAGAAAATAAACTATTGAGTTGAGAGATTTTTTTGTTAGTTTCCTGCTATGGACTTTTCATCAGGCCCAGCTTAGCCACTGTACAAAGAAGAGTTTAATCTACTACAGAAGGGGAAATCTTCTTGGTCTTTATGTAAGAAATATATTTGGCCATAGCTTCACTGTAACTACAAGTCCTCAGAATTTCCCAGTTCAAGAGAATATTTCCTCCACTCCTTAAATTTAGGCATCTGCAAAGAGAAATTGCCCATGATCTGATTGATTTCATTCAAAACCTCGAGTTAACTCTCCCACGAGACTTCTTTTTCCTGAAAAGAAATGAAGACAAAAATCTCCCTTAAATTTAGTTTTACGTTTACTTGTAATATGAAAGGGCTATTGAAAACATTGAGATTTGGGATTAAGAGCCATTCTGAAAGTTCATTTGTAGTTGTTATTGTTCTGTAAAATATTAGCCTCTACAAAAGGAGGAACCACTGGCTAGGAGAAAGCTGTTGGAAAGCCATGTATAAAATAATCTGAGGGGGGATTTTATTGCCTCCTATGTAAAATTCCTTTATTCACATTAATGTCTCTGCCTTTCTTGGATATGAAGAAGGAAGAGTGAAAAAACAGATACCTCATCAAATTAATTTTCCACTTGAATAAAGTTGGTGGTTTGATACAAATTGATCCCAACTAAATCTTCTTTGAATGATACCCAGTGGTCTTTGTGCTCCAAAGGGATGTCTGACACTTTTCCATAAAAGGTAGACCTTAGCTTGTTTTAAACTGCCAGTAACTCCTCTTTGGCTCTGATTTCTTCTACAGCTGGAGCCAAAAGCCGTGGCCTCAGTAGCCATGGCCTCAGTAGCCGTAGCCAGAGTCAATTGTAAATTTCCTGAGATCTTTTTGAAGTTCTGGTCTCCCTCTTTCTTTGCCTTTTTGGGTCTTGAAATCAAAAATTAAATTTCAAAAGTACAGAGATTTGATCCAGGCCACTGGTGGGAAATAGATGGACTCTCCGTCTCAGCTCTTCCTCCCCTAAAACTTACTGGTGTTGTGCTGTTGTGCATGCTGTGAGAGAGGTATGGAAATTATCCTGATATTGGTGGTCTAGTAATAAGGCATATGACTAGGGTTTAGGTTGTGGTTACAGGGCTGGATCAAGTCTGGGGGGGGGTTGAGTATATGTCTTAGGCCCTTTAAAGGTTGTGTCTTTACAATTGTCTGGTTCCTTGTGTTTATCAAAAAAAACTATAGTTTTATCCCCTTCTGTACATATTTTTAGATAGACATACCTGGTGGTTCATCCCTTAAATACGCTATACTCTCTTTTTATGACCTTTAACAAGTTATCTTTGCTATTGGCTCCACAGTCTCTCCCATCTTATACTCTAAATCCATCAGATATTTTCTGAACATGGTCTAATAGCTTCTTCTCCACCATCTTCCTTACATGAAAATGTAGAACCTGACTTCCCAGCCAGGATTTAGCAAACTACATGGCCTGGTGAAACTGGGAGGAGTTGCCCCTGCTATTAGAATGCCCTGCAAGCCAAGGTGAGGAGGCTTTCTTGCAGTTGAATGAATAGATGATTTTCTACTCAAGATTGCTTCACAATTTTGTTGTGTCTTAGTAACAAACTTTCCCTCTGGCCTTAGAAAACACTCTTCTTTACAACTTGAAATTAATGAGAAATCTGGGAGTTGGTGTCTAATATTATTGTGTACTTGTCATCTTTTTATCCTTTTTGGTTTCCATAGAGCACAGGTTCAGGTGACCACCAGATATAGTCCCTCATTCCTCTCAAATAACCATAGGTCTTTGTGAGCCATTCATTGTTGCCTCGCCTAGGATATTAGTTCCACCAAGTTGTTTAGGATCATCTAGTCTATTCCTTTTGCCAAAAAGAAGTGCCACCTTCCTTGACTGCCAGCTGATGCCCCCTAGTCTTCAAGATTTAAGTGGAAGAATCTTTAATTTGGGAAAAGAGCACAGGTCATTTGTCAATTTATCTTAAAAGAACAGACAAAAATCAGGTGCAGTCCCCTACGCCTGTTATTCCAGCTACTTGAGAGACTGAGGCAAAAGAATTAAAAGTTCAAGGCCAGCCAAGGTGAGACCTGTCTCAAACAAGAAGAGAGCTGAAGAAGTAGCTAAATGGTAGAGTGCTTGCCTAGCATGGACAAGGCTGTGGGTTCAATCTCCAGTACCACAAAAATTTTAAAAAGAGAAGAAGAGACAAGCAGTGGCTTATATGCCTATAATCCCAGTTACTTTAGAGACTCAAGCAGGAATATCATAAGTTCAAGGCTGTCTGTGCAATTTAGTGAGATCTTGTCTCAAAATAAAAAGGGGTGGGGATGTGATTCAGTGGTAGAGTGCCCCTGGGTTCAATCCCCAGTACCAAAAAAGAAAGAAAGAAAGGGACAGGAGAGGGAGGAAGAGAGAGAAAGGAAGAAGAAAAGTATTGACAAGAGAAGTTGACATGCTTTGGCCAGATTGCATCATAGATAGAATTTTAAGAAGCAGTTTTCTTAGAAAATGGAGTTGCTAGAACCCTGACTTATTTAGTGTGTGTATCTGAAAATGATCACAATAGTTTGCTTTACTGTCAAGGTCAGTCTTGGCTGTCTCAAAGTAAAAAATAAAAAGGGCTGGCTGGGGATGTAGTTTAGTGATAAAATGCTCCTGGGTTCAATCCCTGGTACCAAAAACAAACAAACATAGTTTGCTTCATCATCAGCCTGGTGTCCTAGGATGATTTTCTTGAACCCAAGAGATTGCCATTTTTTCCTAGTCACTTGGATCCAGAGAAACCCAGCAAACCTCTCTGAATAGTTAAATTCTATTTAACAGGGTTAATTAGAGAATGTGGTGCCATTTACCACTTTGTTCAGACAGTACTCCCATCAAGGATTGAAAAGAATAGTACTTGAAAGTTTGGAAGTTTCTTTGCTATATGATTTTCAGCAAATAATTGTTACTTTTGCATTTTTCTTAGGATTGAGATTTTGAGTTGGATCAGCAGAGTTTAGAAATTTAGTTCTGCCTAAATAGGGTAAAAATAAGAAGTTTTTTGATTTGTTAGCATGTTCTTTGAGTTCCATGAATTAATAGGGTCATATGAAACATTTTATAAACAGTCTGGAGAGATTATAAACTACCAAAAGTCTCCTACCATAAAATCTTAATATTCTCAATTTAGCTTCATTGACCTTTTTGTGGAAGAGGGTCCAGTTTATGGTAAGATGATGACTTGTGAAAAGATAATTTCTTAATTTTTGGCATATTTATGCTGTATTTTTTATATCTCAGAATGAAGTTCTTTTACTTTCCTCTAAGAGCATCACCTAATTTTTGGCTGAATTGCTTTTATTTATAACCTTTAATTCCCTATATCAGCATAGCACAGACTTTCTAATATAGATTTAGACTATAGAAAATTTTCTTCTATTAGTTATTTCAATTTTTTTGAAGACGTTTCCTCCCCCATCATTTGGCCTTGACTTAGTCTTTCTCTCTCTCTCTCTCTCTCTCTCTCTCTCTCTCTCTCTCTTTCCCCTAATGCTGGGAATTGAACCTAGGACCTCATGGGTTCAATTAGGCAGACACTTTACCACTGAGCTGTACCCCAAGCCCAGGCTTTTGTCTTGTCCCCACCAGATATGTCAGAGAGAATACATTTTTTCTTTCCTTCCACCACCATTATGTTGATCTGAAGACAGGGAGGGCAGGATTTGTCACTCCCTAACTTCCTGGCATTCAGATGCTGCCCAGATATCTGTGTTGATTTCCCCATCTTAGATGCCTAGAGAGATGATCCCACTGGCTGGAAGTTTGCTTTCTGGTTCTCATGGGCACTTTTCTGGCTCTCTTGCAGTATAGCGTAAGCACTGTCCACCTGCGAAGGGCGCCCCTCAAGGATCCAGACGCACTCCTGGGCATGTGGCGGGCACTGAGCCGAGCGGAAGGCGGCCACGCTCGGATAAAGGCCAGTGGTGGAATTTTTCATTTTCCTTTCAACTGTGGTTTTGTGGAGTTTACCAACCTCCATGAGAAATAGGGGGCTTCTCCAGAACACTATATGCAACTCAGTCCTCCAAAAAATCTCTGTTGACAGTTCATCCTAATAATTGACTGTCAAGGCACTGCTAAGTCTTTGACTCTAATAGACTCTTAAGACCAGTGTGTTTCTTAATTAATCTTTATCCTCCCTGGATTTTTCCCTTTTCAGCCAAGGTTTAAACAGATAATGTTTCGCCAGGTGGGGTAAAAGGAGAGAAAGAGGATCAAGGATAACAAGAGAGAAGAGTAAGGAGCTGGGG